ATGGCGCATTGGGAGTTGCCGGCGTTGGTCTCATGTTGGAGAGTTTCTGTTCGGATTGATCAAAGGGGATATGGGGACACGGATGTGCAATTTGAATTGAATGTTCCAAATAGCAAAGTTATCTCATTATAGAACTTGTTGGTGAATGGTGATACTTATGAGTTGAGCCGAAATTATGAAATATGCTACTCCCTCCGTCCCTAAATATTTGTCACACTTTCCTTTTTCATCCGTCCCAAAAAATTCACCACACTTCTAATAATGGAAAGTAAATTGGTGTGTTAAGACTATTATACCCCTACTTTTTCAAAATGTGCCCAGCTTTTTCAAATTGTGCATCAGAATCCTTATCCGGATTCCTCTCATTCTCACCACACTTTCGTCTTCTCCATCCGATCTCTCATCTTCAAACTTCGTCTTCTCCGCTACTTCTTCATCTCCGCGACATTCTCAAATTCCTCTCCGCCACAATCTTCGTCTTCTCCACTCCCTAATCTATGGGTAATCCAGATCCCTCATATCCCAATTTTAATCTGTTGATACAGGAATCACCCTCGCGAGGTAGATTCCCCCAAATTGGTGGATCTGGACGAGGATTGAAGCGTCGGCGGCGTCGCTATCCTACTCCTTCGACCTCTACTTCTGATACAGACCCAACCTGGAGGTATCGTAAGAAGTACGGGGATGTGGCGATGTTTGATGAATCGGATCTGGAATTTGAGAGCGACGAAGGGGAATCCGAAGAGGTGACATCTGACTATGATCATAGACCATTGGTCTGCACAGATTATGCTTTGATGGTGAACCCTCCACCAATACCCTTCGATCTGCCTTCCTGTGGTATGACCTCTCCTCAATAACTTAATTATCGAATGGACTGTCTCTGCATGTTATGGTAATTCAATCTCTTAACTAATGATGAAGGGGGGATTAAATTTCAACACTTTTTAGTGAGGCCATCACATCTCTGTGCCATTTGTGAAATCAATTTATGTATTTGGTTGTCTACTGGTGTGGCCCGAGGTGTATAATGCCCAATTTTTGGAGTATTTGCCCTTGATGTGTGGTCTGTGATGAGTTGAAATGTGTACTGGTCTTGCCATTCATTCATTATGTGAAATGTTACCTACTGTGACTGCTCTGTGGTCTGTGATGACTTTAAAATCTGTGACCTATGTGTTGTCATTCATTCCTTATGTCAAATGCTGCCCATTATGTGATCCGTAATGTTTGTTGCCCACTGTGACTGCTATGTGGTCTGTGATGACTTTAAAATCTGAGACCAATGTCTTGCCATTCATTCTTAATGTCAATGGCTGCCCAGTATGTGATCTCTAGGTGTGTGTTGCCCACTGTGAGTACTCTGTGGTCTGTGATGACTTTAAAATCTGAGACCAATGTGCCTGATCTGTGGTCTGTGATGACTTTAAAATCTAAGACCAATGTGCCTGATCTGTGGTCTGTGATGACTTTAAAATCTGAGACCAATGTCTTGTTGACATTCATTCCTTATGTCAAATGCTGGTCAGTATGTGAGCCCTAAGTCTTTGTTGCCTCATGTGCCTGATCTGTGGTATGTGATGACTTTAAAATGTGAGACAAAAAATGCATTCAAACTATACTTATACATTCATAGAATACATAATTCAGGAGCACTTACAAAACTTGGCCCCTACAAAAATCAAAAAAGTACCCTTTGTACTAAATACAAGTCAGCTTGAACTCCCCCCCCCCCCAATATGAGTACAAGTCCCTCCAAAAAGCAAAAAAAGGTACCTTATGTACCAAATACATGTCTAGAACTCCACAGTTCATTAGGACAAGTCCCTCCAAAAAGCAAAAATTAAAACAAAGAACTTAGATTGTATTTCTAAGTCAGTTGTTACCAGCCCCCTGCTCTGCTAAGAAGTTCCTGGCTGCCTCCACCACTTCCATACTGACTTGAATATTCTCAGGCAACTGATCCATCCTCTCTAGTCTATCTTTCCCAATGTGTGGTATCTTGTAGTTGTTTCCTCCTTTTTGCACTAGAATCTGTTCCATCACACATTGTAAGGTCAAGAAGACCTTATTCAATTTTTGAGGGGTTAACTCCGATCCTCAAATGCAGTCTGCACTGCATTGATCAGTTCATTTATGTTCCTTGGGGCTTTTTGGTTTTTGAGACTGTCTATTGATGCAAAGAATCCCAAGTCTAATACATTGAGATCAGGGCTGTTAGGAGGTTGGCACTTTATAGAAATGTTCCACCCATCTTCTTGACAGCTCTGGACTATGTCTGGATCACCAGGGTGTACATGAGGTTTGGCATTGTCTTGTTGTATGATGACATGCTTAGCCCTTGCCTGAGGCCATTTGGCCTTAATGGCAGGTATGACCTGATTCAGCATCATTTGCTTCATCACGTCTCTGTTAACAATTGGAATTGGCTTTGTTTCTAAAGTACCTGCAGGCCTGTTTTTACTACTCCTCTTTGCTCCTTCCTGGAATGTGAAGGGGAAAATACCCACTTTTCCATCCCAAATGCTTTCACTACTGCCCTCCAACATTGGTCTACCCACAACTGTTAGGAACATTATTTTGGGTATAAATTTTTTTGACTGAGTTGATCTGTATGGATCTTCTTCATTGGGGAGTGTGTAAAAAGTACTTGTCTCTTGTGATTGATAGGAACCACTTCTCATCTATGTGAACATAGTCATAAAAGTGATGAAATGTTGGGTTCATAGGTATTGTTTGGGGCATGATATGATCTAAACAAAAACGTAGTCTTTTAACCTTACCACTGTCTGTCAGCAAAGGCTTGATTGCATTCGTGTGACGTCGAATCTGCTTTTCTTTGAGTAGCATGTGCACTGTGCTTTTTGATACGTTTAGTTGGTATGCAACTGCACGAATGTTTTTCCTTTTATGAAAAGGAACTTCAACCAGTTTTCCTAAATCACATGTGACTCTTTTTTTGCCCACACGCCCCCTCATTTGTGGTGCCACATTAATGGGTAAGCCTGCATTAAATTGTTGTTTTGCTTTGGTCCATAAGGTGTGAACGGCCCATCTGTTAGTGTTGAACTTCGCCGCTACTTCTTTAATGACCCCCCGCTGAAGTTTACAGTCTTCTTTGGCTTTTCCCATTAGCATTTCAACTATGTGTTTCTTTTGAGTATCAGATAGTCTGTGTGTTGTGTTGTTCTCCTGCTGTTCTGCTTCGTTTTCGTGCACAGGTTCTTCGGGCTACCCGGTATGCACTCCACGAGAAGTCGATGTGTTTGTCAGAGCTGTTCGTGGGGAAACAACCTCGACTAAACGTCACATATCGCTGAATGACGCAGTAGCTCGAATGCTAAGGGTGGGAACATCGGCGTCAAAAGATGGATCGTCTCCACGTGAAGCCGGCGTCGGATCTTTGTTGAGATCGAACTCATGGACAGTCGGGGGCAGATTGAGGTCAAATACATGAAGTGTGGATGAAGATGGAATTGAAGATATGTCATCCATTTTGGGTTAGAATTAAATACCCCTCTTCAATGCACACAACTCATTTATATGGGCATTGAAGAGGGTGTATGTATGGAAAAAATTGGGAGGAAACAATGTTAAATTTTAGCTCTTTTCCCTCTTTATTTTAAACGAAAATTGTGTGTGGTGTATTTGGTGATGATGTGTAAAAATTGTGGCCTAGTTGTAAAATAATGATATTGATGTGATATTTACTTTAATTAAGGGCCCCCTTTCTATCCCCTTTTTGGTTTTCTACAGGGTTTGCTTTTGGGACGGGTGGATGGGGGTAAAATTGGAAAAAAATTGCTTTTTAACCACTACCTAAAATTGTGTGCAAGTCAAAGTGTGGTGAATAAATAGGGACGGAGGGAGTACCTAGTAGTATTAGGCGGATCTGAATTGAATTTGATATACTCCTTCCGTCCCAAAGTATTCGTCCTATTTTGAATTTTGGAACTGTTCATCTAAGCACTTTGACTCATCAAATTCTCTCAATGTGTAAGCCTAAATATAGTCATGTGTGATCTTGTTTGATTTGTCTTAACATATAGATTATTAATATATAATTTCTATAATTTTTTTAATATACAAATCACAAGATAAAATGGATTAAAGAAGTGCATTGGATGATGTATAAAAATGAAAGTGGACAAATACTCAGGAACGGAAGTAGTATAAATTACATGTAAAACTGAGGAATTAAACTTAAGGTCATGCAGGTATCGACTTATACCTAATGGTCTCTAGAAGGTTAGAGTTTACATCTCTCTCAGTTTCGCTTGTTAAAAAATCTATGAATCAAGTTACTCATTAGTTAACTCGAACATCTCATTCAATGTCTGATTTTTGGGAATGAATTTTAATCTCCCCAATTTTTATTTGTGATGCTCTGAATTTTGATAATTTACATTAATAAAATACTATTTCTTTTTTAAAAAGAGCATTATTTGTTTTTCTTTGACATTATTTCTATTGCTACTCACGAATTTGATAAGCACAATATTCGATATTTGGATCATGTATTTTATACAATAAAATTAGTGAGGATGAAGAACTAAAGCTATAATAAAATCAAATAATGCAATCTCATAGAGTCCTTAACTAACCAACTGTGTTGAATATTACAGAGCTTGAGCAAAGACTTCGTGTTTTTAAAATTAAAATTTTAACACTCCTTTTGTCCAAAAGTATTTATAAAATTTTAATTTTTTGAAATCAACTATAATCAACCTTTGTGATTGTTATCACCATTCACATAATGGGAAGATTTAATTCCAAAAATAATTGGCAACAACAATAGAGGTCAGCATTTGAAAAAAAGATGTTTAACACAGAGTAGCATCATTTAGCTTTATCATTTTCAAAATAAATCTATCACCATTAAGTTTTTATCTAAAACGTTGATGTTAATCAAAAACACTATTCCCAAACAATGTCATAATTCATAACATAGAACCATTTGGAACCAAACTTTTCAGGTTCAATACCATGTTAGTCTAATACTCTAACTTGAAACATTATTGGGGTAATATTTCTACTCACCCCTACAAATTTGAAAAGAAAAAAAATAAAAAGTGTTTTTAGAAAATGGATGCATGATTTGGAGAGAACTTTACCTCAGGTCATCAACTAATTGGTGACTATTGTTTATTAACTTGTCATTTCAGTTTTGGGCTAATGCTGAGTCTTTGGTCCAAAAATACGTCAGATCAATGTGTACCACGTCTATGTATGGTAAATTGGTAATGACCCATTGATGATTTTAAATAGGTGATACGAAGAAACATTCTGCTTTGACCATATTTACTTGGCCATCATCTGCTCTAAGGCAAACTGTGCATCATGTTCATTGCTATCACATAGTATTCTGAAACAATGAAATGACACAAGGATCGATCATATGTTCGATCAGAATATCACACGTAAAAAGTTAATGAGATGTGAAAACGAGTAATTTTCACCGCACCTTTGGAAATTCTTCAGATAGACCATTTAACTTGTTGGCTTTCGTTTCATAAGTCAAGGACAAGCTGCTGATGTCGTTTGAGATCATTCAAGTACTTGGTCAAGTTATACTCTTCAGCATCAAATAGTTCTTCTGAGTAGGTCCTTTGTAGAGCATATTTCTTGTTCTCTTTTGAAGAATTTTCGTCGGAGCTTTTGTCTCTAAGTAAGATCACAACCTGCTTGAATGCGTATTCGGTCCGGTCATGTTATATAAGTTTGAGTTCGGCATCTGTTATGCGAGTTTATTTTCAAGTTCTGTAGGGGGGGCATAGAAGTAAATACTTGCCTGGCTCATCTGCGGTCGCAAAATGGGATTCTGTTCTACACACAGAGATGCAGTCAAAACCACTCGACTCATCTGTTGTTTATCATAACTATTACCAAGAACAGGATCAACAAGTTCCTCCACCTCATCACTATCAAGCAAAGGTTTTGCCTAAAATTGAATTTGAAACAAAGTAGTGTAAAATTGAACGTGAATTCTTAACTGATATAAGACGAAGGGTAGCATAAAAAGATTTGGACGTGCAAGCCATTTATACCCAAAGCACAATGCTTTTCTGTGAATCGTCAACTGCTGGCCGTCCTGTAATAATCTCCAAAAGCAGTACTCCAAAAGAAAAGACGTCAGTTTTCTCATCCACCATGCCATGCATAAAGTATTCCGGAGCAAAATAACTATCAACGAAAGGAAAAGTCAGTAACCATTCTTCTCTCTAAAAAAGGGGGGAGTATCAAGCACTAACATACCCAAAAGTGCCTTCAAAATTTGAAATATTGTGATGGGTCCATTCCTTGGGAAGCCATTTTGCTAGGCCAAAATCACATATCTGCATTATTATTCAGCATTGTCATTTTTATAGCTTCAGAAACAATATGATATTCACTAATCTAAATGTAGCAGACTAGCAGCAATAGAGGCTACTCTCAGATGTTACATATTTCATGGATACACTTCAACGATGGATAGTTGAAATGTTGACACGAATATAACAGACCCACGGAAATTAAAATTAACTGATTTTTTATTTTTTAACATCTCCTTAGCACTATATTTGGTTCAAGGCATTTGAAAGGGAAAAGAAGAGAAAATGATTTGGAAATCAAGTTTTCTTGTTTGATTAGAGAGGAGAAGAAAAGAAAAGCCAAAGGAAAAGAAAGCGAGAGGAAAAAAATAAACTTAAATTAAGGAAACCAACTCTCCTTTCGTTTTGGTGTGGAAAAGGAGAGAAATTTCTTTCTTTTCATTTCCTTCCGAATTCCACAAACCAAACACAGTGTAGATAGCAATACCCGGATTCTATTTTAGTTTTCTAATTTATATTTTTAGTAGATGTAAGGTCGGCGTACACACACCCTCCCTAGACCCTAATAGTCGGATTTCAATGAGTTTGTTGTTGTTTTGCGGGGATAAATTCAAATTTAAACAGTATATCCGACACTAATATAAGTGGTCATTAGAGCTGGCAAATCGGTCGGTCAGGTCGGGTTCAGGTTCGGTCATTTCAAGTTCGGGTTATTTTGGGTTCGGGTCAATTGTATGTTCATGACCCAGTGTCATCGGGTTCGGGTCAACCCAACGGGTTATGACTTTGGTTTTTTAAATTTTTAAATTCACATTAACACTTACATTTTCTATTAAATAAATTTAAAATATCATACAAAATGTATTAAATCTATAAAATTATTTTATTTTAAACTCTGAAGTAATTTTTAGATATATAAATCAATATAAGGAATTTAAAAATGCTTAAGTTTTGAAAAAAAGTAAGATAATTATGCAATATCATTAGAATTTTGTTTGAAAATATAAATTTATACACTAAAAACGAGTAGTAAAGTGTATGATTTTGAAAAATTCTTAATTTAATGGGTCGGTCAGGTCGGGTTCGGGTTCGGTCAGGTTTGACCCATTTTTAGCGGGTCATTTTGGGTTCGGTCAACTTCGGGTTCGATCATCAAAACCTTTGTTCAAAACCCAGTGTTTTCAGGTCAGATTTCGGGTCAAAAACAGGTCGGGTCATTTTTTGCCAGGTCTAGTGGTCATATAGTTGAAAATTGAAATTTTTGGCTTGTGCTCGACTCATTATAATGTCCACGGGGAGCATCCCGTAACTACCACAAGAGTATATGCTTCCATTTGCATCCTCAATCATCCACGTCAAGGTACAACAAATCAACAATAACAACAAACCCTAGATAACCCCAGCTCCATTGAGCTCTTGGGATAAGATATACACAACCTTAGCCTTGTAAAAGAGTCCAGAGTTTAGTTCCTCTTACATTGCACATTCTTATTGATTATTTGTTAAAATAATATAGTCAAGTCACCATTTGTTTTTTTAGAATTCTTATGTAGTTTTAAAAAATATAAATATTTATAGTTATACACCAATACTCAATTAAATTGAATTGAAAATAGTTTCAGTTAAGTATCGCAAACCGCAATGTTAAGTTCTTTTTGGGAAAGAGGGAGCCATTCTTAATATATTGCTGAAGGTCAAAGAGAGCTACTTGTTTCATGAGCCACAGTATGTGTAATGAACACAGACAGATTCGTATAACACTATAAGTTTCATCAAATCAGACACCATTGCCAACGTTTTGCTCATTTTTCCTGAAAACGGACTTTTTGGAAGATTGTACGAAAGAGAACTAGGACTCTAATCACTCTATGAGGACCAAACTGACCATACTAACACCAAAGGATGTATCTTTGTATTACACAATATAGATTTCATCAATCAGACACCATTGCCAGGCTTTCTGCTCAATTTGCATAAAAATGGTTTGTGAAGATTGTTTAAAAGAAAACTAGGACCAAAATGAAAAAACCAACACCAAGCAATGTATCTTTGTGAAATTTGGTAAGAATATTGTGTACAGAGAGTTTGGAAAGATTTAAAGGAACGACATATGCTTGCAGTAGAATCTAGGCTGAAGTTGGTCACTCGTTTCCACCAAAAGGGGAATGGACGAGATAGGAGGCCACAACATATAAGCAAACAAATATGCTCACCTTCTTGTAAGCCTCAATCACTTCATTTAACGTGTCCAACCCCATTTCAGTTGGCATACATTGAAGCATTTAAGTTGAGATTTAGCATCCCAAAACAAGAGATCTTGAGAGCATTAGTGACATAGTAATTGAGTGAGAGTCGGTGTTTCTTTCTCTTTTTGGTTATGGGATGTGTTCATTTGTTAAATGCTCCGTCACTTGAAACATTTGGGTGGGCCTACTATTTGAGAGATTCCTTCATTTGTAAGATTATACCCAAGTTGTAAATCCTTCCTTCACGAAAGAGGAAGGTAGTTGAGAGCACAAAATAGAAAATCCTTTGTTGTCTAGTTTTTGGTTCAGTTTTTCACATTTGTTGGAAATTTAAACGATTTGTGTCGCAAAGTCTTCACCCTTTGTCCTCAGAGGGTGTGAGAGAGCTAGAAATTAACCGATCCCCACGAATCCAATTAAGAGGGTGAGAGAGAGAGAGAGTCGTCACTTAAAGTATATTAACAATGCTTAGAGGTAGTTCAGAATTCACATATTTAAAGGCAATAATTACAAATTACTCCATGAGTTCATCACTCCATGGTATACAAATTGAATTGGAAAACATATGTGAGCATTTTCAGGTAGAAAAAATTGGATACTTTCAGGGGATATCTCAGATTTGGGTAACCTCGGGTGTAATACCTCCATCCCAGTGTATTCGTCCGGTCTAACTTCTTTTATCAAGCTTTCAATATCATTCATATAAAATATTAGATTGCATATTAGACTTTTCGTACAAAAATGATTTCATTAGATCTGTCTTGCATAAAACTTCAAAAAATTGTTTCCATTTTTTAATGTGCAATGCAATTTTCAAATATTTGATTAAAGTTCATCCAATTTGACTTGAAAAGGTCAAACTAGACAAAAAGTATGTAATGGAGAGAGTGGTTCATATCACATCACCACTTCTAAAATAGAAATATTTTGAAGAAAAAAAACATCAAGCAGTTACATTACACAATGTTAGTATAGTTTGTAATTAACTAGTGAGCATAAAATTTGGGAGTTTCATGTCATTTAAGCAAGAAATATTATAGTAGATGGGATTACCGTTTGCTCAAGCTCTACAGGGGGGTCAAATTTAGCCATGTCTTTAGTAGAGAGTGTTTTGAGAACCGTATGGGTTCCTTTTGTGTTTCATTTTAGTTGTCCTTCCCACAGTATGAGTAAACGTAAAAATAAGTTTCATCAAACATTGGTCAATCCATTTAGTTAAATATTAGTATCAATTAGGCTTAAGACCATAAGATACCTCTGGCACAAAATCTTCTGTAAGTAGGATATTATCAGCTTTAATGTCTCTATGAATAATCCTTCTTCGAGAGTTCTCGTGAAGGTAAAGCAGGCCATCTGATATCCCTAGAATGATTTTGTACCTATTCTCCCAATGTAGTGTTTCCCTTGGGCCTGAGATGAGCACATATATACAATATCCACTTCAAAAAAGAAAATATAATAGCACTCTTCACTTCACATGAATAAAAGAAACATGTATGAGAGATGATTTTTGAGACACACCTCGAAGAAATGACCTTAAACTCCCTTTTGATGATAGCTTAAGAACAAGATAAATTCCCCCCTCAACTCCATACCCGATCATTTTTGCAGTATTAAGATGATCAACATGGGCAATCGTTCCAATTTCAGATAAAAAAATTCCTTCACGGTCCTCTAATGACCCTCTATTCATGCGCTTCACTGCTATAAACTGGCCTTCTGGCAAGCATCCCTTGTAAACTTCAGCATACCCTCCACTTCCAATGATGTTTTCTTTCAAAATAAAGAAATTAAAATAAAATAATTTCAAAACCTGAGTCTTAATACAGGCCATGTCGAAGTGTACACAAGGATGAAATTTTTATTTGAGAAAAAATATAGAAAAGATAATATAGCACATGACATTAAGAAAAATAAACTACAACCTTTACTGAAATTGTTGGTTGCAGACTTGAGCTCATCCAATGTGAAAATTCTCAATGAAGGTTTTAAAGGACACAAACTTGTGTCTACATTTTCTCTCAAGCTTTTGAATTTTCTTCTTGACATCCTTGAAGCAAAAGGCGGGAAGGAAGGTAGGCGCTTAATGGAATTTCTTTTCCACAACTTGAAGAATCTGTGCCACCGTGAACGTATCCGAGAATCTGATGAGGGGACTATAAACTGTGACCCATTACTTCTTTCATGTTTGTTTTCTCGCATCCAGATACATCCCTCAATAATCCCCCTTGGAGAGGACTCATAATCCTTATCATCTTCAACTTCAAAGCATCTCAAGTCTACATCATTAGAAGAAAATGGCAGGATTTAGAAGATGCATGATGACACTCTGCCAGCATGCTTATGCTGGAAACACAATTCATCCTATCATACAACCTTGAGCAGAAGCAGATGATGATAGTGCTGGGTAACTTTTGCTTCTAGCTTCCATCATGTACTTGCTCGATTTGTCGCATTTTCCTTCACTCATTTTCCTACAATGGAGATGCACTTACATTGATGAATTATGCTATAGAGACAAAGGAAAAAAATATGTAGAGTGTGCCCATTCTTGCATTCAACTAGCAGCCTTCTTTTAAAAAGCAATTATTCAACTCTTCAGATAGAATTTTATATAAATATATAAACACACACACACACACATATATATATATAAGAAGACATAAATTAGATGTGGGAAGAATCACACACTATCTTCTCCCATAGCTAGGGGAAAATGAAAACAAATAGGGAGTAATTTTTACTTTAATTAATTAATCAAACCCCATCTCAGCCTGCCATGAAAATCTACTTAGAGCAGACAATGCAATTCGAACACATGAATCTAAACCACGGCCTCAAAAATTAATTTGGAATTAGCCTTTTTAATTTCAAACGGCACTCTACATGAATGAACCTATGCCTAATCAGCTCTTTGGAAATATAATGGAACCCTTCATCTCGCAGAAGCATTTTGTGTCTGAAACTCAATCCTTGAACAATACCCAGAAAACATTTAGAATTTAATCACAAAACAAAGAAACAAAACAACGTATATGGCCAAATCTAAAAATAAAGAAAAAGGCTTACAGAGGAAGAGAAGGCAGCTGGTGGGAGGCCATTATAAGAGCTCCAAGACGTTCCTCTAACGATAGGATGAACACAGAAGACAGAAACGTTAATCAAAGCCTCGATTCTTATCATCCTTACCGACGACTCACAATCACCCAATCCGCATAGCTGCACATGACGAAGGAATCCGTGTATTCTGTATCGATCTCGTCATAGGGTCCGAAATTATGCCCACACAAAAACCTGGAACCCCCCTGCCCATGAAAGGAAAGAGGAAAATAGAAAAAAGGAGAGAGAGATGGCGGAGTAGTAGTCTGATGGACTGCTGGTCTTATTTTTGTTTGTTATTCTCCATGATTCTCTCCCTGCCTTATATATCTTCAGGTCAGTGTTCATCGTTGTGGAAATCAAAGTACCAGAGTCTCTCACTCCAAAAGAAATCCCAAATACAGAGTATGGCGTTGTTTATATGTTTGCTACTAGGATTTCACATCAAACATTATTCTCAGAAAGTCATCCCCACTAATTTTTTTTTTACTTGGGTTTTGGTGTAGAAAAACAACAAAGAAGAATGTATTGTCTTGCCTGAGAGATAATTATCCTGAACAAACACATTTTTTAATGGCAAAAACACCATCTTCTTTGATTTGATTTTCAAAATGGGTTTTTTCCAGTTTTTTTAGATGAGAATATATTCTTGTCCCATGTAAACAATGAAGAAGATTTTGAGTGTTATTTATAGTAAATCATCAATAGTTAACACTAATATATTGCAATGAAGAATAAGAAAAAAAATAGTTAGCATACATGTCCATCATGGAAGATAACTTCCATAGAATCACCTCCCATTAGCCAAGCTGGAACAGAATAGACAAAAATTGTACGTAATTTATATTGTGACTGTTGTAGACTTCGTTGAGCATATTCCACATGCTCGTTTTTTCTAGGACAGAATGCATAATAAGAACTTTGAAGTTGGGGTTATGTTTTGGAAGACTTCAAACTTTTTTTTTGACGGCTGAAAGACTTCAAAGTTGATGCTCTATATATGGTGTAGTAATTAGCTTTCTCCGGCATGGTCATTAATAAGAATTGTTGCACGCGCCTCTACAAAGGCAAATGAAGAGATTTGTTGAATCTGCTTAATAGATACTGATTGAACTTAATGGATATTTCTTTTACGGTTGGCGTGTGCCTCCATAGTTTATGGACAGTTGTTGTGCACACATATTCCCAATTGGGGCCTGTTTTTTAGGGCTTGAACTCTTAATTTCTTGTTTCTTCTAGATCCTTCCAGTTTCTTCCAGTTTTTTCTGGTTTCTTCTAGTTTTTTCCAGTTTCTTCCAGTTTCTTACAATTTCTTCCAACTTTTCTCATTTTCTTCAAACTCTTTATACTTCTCAACCAATTACTCTAAAAATGATACTCCCTCCATCCCGCTATATTCGTCCACTTTTGACTTTTGGAACTATTCATCTAAATACTTTGACTCATCAAATTCTCTCAATGTGTAAGCCTAAATATAGTCATGTGTGATTTTGTTTGATTTGTCTTAACATATAGATTATTAATATATAATTTCTATAATTTTTTAATATACAAATTACAAGATAAAATGGATTAAAGAAGTGTATTGGATGGTGTGTAAAAATTAAAGTGGACAAATACTCTCGGACGGAGGTAGTATATTTTAATGTGATTATTATTATTATTATTACAATTGTTATATTCATAACTATAGTTTATAAATTATTATTTTCATCTCACTATTTTTGCGATTCACACTAATTATTCTTTTTCAGCTTTTTAATATGAATAAGACATTTTTTGTATATTAGTCTACATGATAAAACAAGGAAAAAATCAATATGTTAAATTGTACTTGAAAAAATATGGATAAAATAGTTACATTGAATGTTTTATTAATACAACTTTTTATAAGACATCTCACTTTTCCCTTTATTACTTAAAAATTGCTCATTTTTCTAATTTTTATATTTATGTTAACTTTATACTACCTCCTTCCCAGTGTATTTGTCCAGTTTGACTTTTTTAAGTCAAACTTGACAAACTTTGAACTTTAATTACTCTCAATTTATATTCCATATTAGCATAATAAAATACAATTTTAAAAGATCTCAATACGATAAATCCAATAAAGTCATTTTTATGTTAAAATACATTATGATTTTTATTTTATTGAAGTTCAAAGTTTGTCCAGTTTGACTCGAAAAAGTCAAACTAGACAAATACACTGGGACGGAGGGAGTATTATAATTATTTTTTGCAAAAGTAATTTTTTGTATTTAAAAAATAACAATACTTTTTTTATATCTTAAAGACATTGACTAAGATAACGTGATGATGATGATGATGATGATGATAATAATAATAATAATACGGAGTAATAATAATAATAATAATAATAATAATAATAATAATAATAATAATAATAATAATTTATAACAACAAGAATTTAAAATAAATATTTTTAAAGTTTTTTTTTATGTTTTTTCACTTTTTTGAAGTTTTTCCAGTTTCTTTCAGTTCCTTCCAGTTTTTTCCAGTTTCTTCCAGTTCCTTCCAGTTTCTTCAAGTTTTTTCCAGTTCCTTCGAGTTTCTTCCAGTTTTTTCTAGTTTCTTTCACTTTCTTCCAACATCCAGCTCTTTTTATACAGTCCTAAAGAACAGGCCCTTAGTAGTGACCTGACCCATTTATTTGGGATGGAACACTGTTCACTTTGTCCTCACCATTGTATGTATAAAGATTAGATTGATGTTTGTCATTATGATATCATTATTTTCAGAGGAAAAATGTTAGAAGTATTTAAAAAGTGTACCTCAAATGAACACCACTACATCTTACGATACAATCTAAAATATTGATAAAAAATTTAAAATTAAATAATGATTAGAAGGTAAGGTACATACCCCCAACATGGATCTTTTTGAAGACACAATATTGAAGGTGGAACTTGGAAGGGATGTGGGGAGAGGTAATATAATATTCCCTCCAGTCCCAGAGTATTCGTCCAGTTTTGACTTTTGCAACTGTTCATCTAAGCACTTTGACTTATCAAATTTTCTCAATATGTAAGCCTAAATATAGTCATGTCTGATCTTGTTTGATTTGTCTTAACATATAGATTATTAATATATAATTTATACAATTTTTTAATATACAAATTACAAGATAAAATGAAAAAATGTATTGAATGATGTGTAAAAAATGAAAGTGGACAAATATGCCCCTCACTAAGTTTGGGGACCATAAGTTTTTTATGGAAAGCTTTGCTTTAGCAGTTTCGCTGATGGTTTCCTAAACTTTTAGGGTAGAACTTTCCGGATTTATCGTAAAACTTAGGTGATACGGAATACACAGCCAAGTTAGCGGTTTCCTTATTAAGGGATTGCAATGGATTTACACTCCTATGAAGATTGGGGTCCTAGCGTATATCTAGCCATAGTAATATACGGTTCACAAGGGAAACTTTTCGCTTTGAATCAAGGGTGGCAAGACATCGGAGAAAGAGCGTTCGAGTGAGGGAGAGAAGGGATGGGTAACTGTGCATCCGACGTGAAAGGCGGCAAGCAGGCGGTAGGAGGCGGCGGCGATGGAGGCCACCACCGGGCCCAGGCTCTCGGCGGCGGTGGAGGTGAGGGCAAAAACGACGCAGTAGATTTTTTCTTCCGGACCAAGGGAATGCGCCCTCTAGGCTGCCAAATTGAGGTACGTCAATTTGTTGATGGCTTACTTTACATATAATGATTGTTTAATTTAGGGTTTAGTCATCAGAATTCAAACTTAGCCGCTATTTGTATCTAATAAAAATAACAATAAAAACAAATCAAGCCATTCACAACACTTTTTTGTTTGTTGATGATGGAATGCAGCTATCTCTATCAGCCTCAAACCTTCTCGATCGTGACATCATGTCTAAGGTATGCTCCTATTTTGTTTCATAGATTCAATTCTTGTATGTACTCACACTAATTATTATTATTATTATTACTATAAAAATTATTATTACTACTACTACTATCATGGAGTATTTATTTATTTATCTAAAATTCTTTCTGGAAATTATTGTAATCTGTACTCACAAGAAAGAAAACAAAATTCTATGAAGGCCCTGCATTTGTGGCTTGAATACTGAAGTCTTAGTTCTATTCCTTTAATTGCAGAGTGATCCCATGGCGGTAGTTTATTTAAAGAAAAGGGATGGGACCCTTCTAGAAGTTGGGCGTACTGAAGTGATAATGAACAGTTTGAATCCTGCTTGGATTCAGAAAATTAATATGATGTACCAGTTCGAGATTGTTCAACCATTGATGTAGGTTTTTTTTAATATAAGTGTAGGTCTTGTTTAAGAAAAAATGATCTCTATCTTGGAGAAGGTGCATGCCATGTCTAACAACACACATCTCTCTCCTCTTTGAAATACATTCTGAAAGATGTCACAACTCGTACCATGTGTTTTTGTAATATTTGCACATGTTAAATTTGTCAAAGTGGCATCACCTTTGTTGAGTTCACAATTCACATAACTGTAATGTACTCTGAATTCAGCATGTAGATGTTTAAAATAGAGTTCTGTTACTCCATGAGTGGCGCACTCCATTTTTTATCTTCACATATTTGACTTGTATTCACTATGGGAATACTGCTTTTTTTTGTTTTATTCAAGGCCAACTACAGCCAAAATATGGATACATATTATGACTCAATGATAGATTCCAAAGCATTTTCAAATCATGGAATTAGATTGTGTCTTTTCCTCTTCATATTTGATTATTTATTTATTTATTCATATTCATTTTTATTTTCAGATTTCATATCTACGATGTGGACTCAAAGTACCACAATTTACCTGTGAAGGTATATCATCTTGCCCAATATCTTGCTCTGTAAAATTGCATCCTTATTTTCAGTAATAACCATTCAAAATAAGTATAATAGCTAATGCAGTTCTCAGAATGAGGGCATGGTTTCGCTTTGAGTGTGAGATGGTAATGAAGCTCTTAAAACTTAATGTAAGAAGTAAGAACATAAGTATGGTAATTGATTCACGGAATGATTATATATGTAATAGGAATAACATTTAACTTATACTGGATTATAGAAAGAATACCATATGCATTATATTTCATTGTTTGCTGTGAAACATTTTATTTCTTTCAATGTTTTAACAAAATAGAAAAGATCTTTCAGCCTCATTAATCCAAAAGTCTAATCTCTTAATCCACCGATGACGGAACACAATAATATGGTTCCAACCTCACCACTTATCATTTATGTGTCCTATAAGTGGGATTAGGCAGAAAATAACCAAAGGGGAAAAATCTAAACTTCCAAAGCAGGAAGTAGATGGAATTTGTTCCAAGCATTTCCAACGTGGTATGCGATTAAACAATTTTTATTCCATTAAATTTACCCTATCAAGCAATTCAAAAGGGATATAAATATTTCATCAAGGGAAGGTATGCATCAATCTTTCCTTTCTCAAAATTAACTACATTCAAGATACTAAAAATGGGGGAAACATAAGAGTAACAATCCAGAAAGTTTAAAATGCTTGAATTGGAACGATTCTAGATACAGCATACTGGTGTTCTGATTTTATGGTTATCATTATTCTACAGAGTCCCTGAAACTATAAAATTTTTATTGTTAGTTAAGCTGTTATGCCATTGGTGTTGCAGACGCTAAAGTTGAAGGATCAAGATTTCCTCGGTGAAGCCAATTGTGTTCTCTCTGAGGTTAGTTGCTTGAGTAGCAAAAAGGGAACTGTTGTCTTATGCATTGTACTATTCTTAGCATCATAGTTATCAAGGCGTCGCCTAGGCGACACTTAGGCATCTGGGCGAGGCTTTGTGGACGCCTAATTGGTCGCCTAGCTGTTTTTTCCTGGGCGACTCAGTGACTCTTGGAGACGCATCTACGTTTTAGAAGCAGCGCAAGGGAACGCGCGAGATAGAAAGAGAAGACGGAGGAAGAGATAGAATGAAGACTTATCTTTCTCGCAATCTTCCAGCGGCTCTGCAGCGGCTCCAGTCTCTGTGTCTTTCTATCTATCTATCATTTAGACTAGTGGACTAGGTCAAATAACTGGGCTAGGTTCATTAAAAGACTATTGGACCTTTACACAAGAGTACAAGGCCCAAAATTTAATATGCCTTTTAAAAGCTTCCTTAATTGGAGTAGGCTTGTGTGTGTGTGTGTATGTATGTATGTATATGTATGTATGTATGTATGTATTCATTTTAATTAATTATTTCATATTATATGCTTTAACATTAGTACCAATAAAATTTTTATGGTCGCCATAACCCACTCGCCCAGCGGATGCCTAGGCGGGCGCCTAATCGCCTAGGCGATTGGAAGGTGCTCTAGCACCCAGCCTCGCCTAGCCTCCATAACAACTATGCTTAGCATGCATGTAGTGTTTGCTAAAATGATTGACACTGTTCAGATCGCTGAAACGAGACTATAAAGTAGTATCAATATGTCAGATTGGTGACTTCCCTCTGTTGGTATGGCAAATTTAATTTTGTTTATTCTCCCAATGACTATCTCAGATTGTTACCAAACCAAGTCAGAGGTTAACCTTGAACATACACCATAGAGATGGGCGTGGCTCAAATAATTTGGGCACACTTACAATCCTTGCTGAAGAACCAGTTATTTCGAGGAGTGCAGTGGAATTGACACTGAAGTGTACAAATCTCGACAAAAAGGACTTGTTCTCCAAAAGTGTACGTATGAGATGGAGTATAGATTTTGAGTATATGTAACATTAGTTTGTAGAGGAAGCTAACCCTACTGGACCCTAATGCATGGGAAGTTTTGGGATTGGGTTTGCTGTTTGCCATTTGCCCTTTTATAATCTCATTTTCTTGTGCTAAATGTTTTAGGATCCATTCTTGATAATATCTAGGATTGTTGAAGCTGGAGGTTCTATTCCTATCTGCAAGACAGAAGTTCTGAACAACAACTTAAATCCCATATGGAAGCCTGTGTGTCTATCTGTTCAACACTATGTGAACAAGGTACATGTCCTCTGATCTTCGTAAGAACAACTCCACATTGTTTGCACACACTTGTTTCTATTCCTATATGAGTGCTGTACTGCTGTGTGCGATTGTGTCTCCAGTTCTCCTCCAATGGCTACTTTCACATAATGAAATACAGTTTCAAAATGTGTTTTCAACGTATTTATAGAGTTACCCACTAGACAGCCGTATTGGTAGAATTTGAAATCATCTTCAAAACACCAAAATGAATGGACAGAGTTTACAGTTTCCGGAGACTAGAATTGCTACTTATTGTAAAAGATCTGCTATGGCCTATGGGTACTCCCTTTGTCAACTTCAAGATGAATTTCATACAGCTTATGTTAAATTTGTTGTAGGATAATCCTCTAATCATCGAGTGCTTTGACTTCAACAGCAGTGGGAAGCACGCCCTCATTGGGTATGCTTTGCTTTGAACCTCTATCGATTTTTCTTGGTCCAAATACCTTTCACAATCCCTTGAATTTTTAGTATGCATGATGTAGATATCTTATTATGCAGAAAAATGTACAAGACAGTGGCAGAGCTTCAAAGTCTTCATGGCAGTAAAGCTGGAGCAAATTTTATCTCACCACCTTCTGGTCTCCGGAAACAAGAAAAGGTCTCTAGTTTATTACTTTTTTTTCTACTAGTAGCATTCGCCTTTCCTGCAATATCTGACTCAGCAGTGTTATGCACTCAGCTTTCGAAGGTTGAACTGTTTGTGGAAAATTTCATTGAGAAGCAACTCTACAGCTTTCTTGATTACGTTTCTAGTGGATTTGAGCTTAACTTCATGGTTGCTATTGATTTTACTGGTATCGTACCTCATCTATATAATTGTTCTTTAATAATCTGTTTGGATATGGACATTTCATTCGTAACTTTGGAATTGACCCAACTCCCTTGTTTAGGAAAGTTGTGGCATTTCGGTTTTGAATTGGGCAAAATCCATATCATGTTTTAACAGGGTACAAAGTGTGGATATCAAAATGACTTCAAACCCCAAGGGATTTGTATTTGAATTCTAGAATTAGAATTCTTGAGGCTTGCCTAACAAGATTTTTGCAATTTTGGAATTGTGAATTTTAAGTGATTGTCTAATGAAAAATTGGATTTCATAATACATGAGTTTAAAATGTAGAATTAAGAACACATGTTTGAAATGAAATCCTTCTATGTTCTATCCAAACACAACCTCTCTGGTATTCCATAAGTGTTTTCTAATCTATTCAAGTTCTAACTTTTATCCAGCTTCAAATGGAAACCCTCAAACTCCCTCTTCTCTACATTATATTGATCCATCAGGAAATTTAAATGCGTACCAGAGGGTAAGCAGGAATTAATCTTCTCTTTAATAAACTGTTATCTTTTTGATGTATTGAGGACGTCCATGGTTTATGTTAGAAAGTGATTACATGCTGTGGTTACTTCAGGCCATTACAGAGGTTGGAGAGGTCATACAATTCTATGATTCGGATAGATGTTTTCCTGCATGGGGCTTTGGTGGAATGACTTATACTGGTTCGGTATCTCATTGTTTCAATTTAAATGGAAATCCAAGCACGTCTGAGGTAGACGCCTATTCTATAAAGTTAGAGATCTTTTTTCTTGGGTCAGGTTCATGGTGGTTTAATTTGTCAAAGTCAGGAACCTGGATAAGTGGATAACGAAGAAAAAGAAGAATCTTTTCCTTTTATTTTGTATTCTCTTTTTATTCACCCAAATCTTAGTGCATTTGAGATATTCATGTTCTTCATATGCTTTCCATGAATCATGGTTTGGTCTATTAACTTCTAGACACCGACCTCAACATAGTTGAGTTAAGGTATGGCAAACAGGTGATGATGAGGGGTTTGAGCTAAATGATTGGGTTTTTGTTTGAACACTCTTGCTCTTGTAGGGGGCAGCAAAACCCTGGCCTTTTCTTTTTGAATAAGACTGCATAAAACAATATTATCATTAGCATTGATGCACTAAATTTTCCCCTTTCTCAGGTTCAAGGGGTAGATGGAATCATGAATGCGTATTCAAGTGCTTTGCACCATGTAACTCTTTCTGGGCCCACCTTGTTTAGCCATGTGATTAACACTGCTGCCAATATTGCGGCCCAGTCTCTCAAAAATAACCACCACAAATACTTTGTCTTGTTGATTATCACAGTATGTTGTGGAAGAAATTGAGTCTGCTTTCATATACTCTATCTATTACTCCTCGACTCCATCCCAATTTTTGTTGCGCACTTTGACTCGACACATAGATTAAGGTTTAAACTTTGAGTCTTTATGGTTGAGATTTATGCAGAGTAGGGAGAAGCAGTATGAACCACATGATGTTTTCTACAAATAAAAATGGACAAAATAAATCAGCAGGGTAAAAAAAAGCGAACAATAGAATTTGGGAATGTGATTTTAACTGTTTTTTTAAATATTTTTTTGGCTGTAGGATGGAATCATTACCGACCCTCAAGAAACTAAAGATGCTATTGTAAGGGCATCTGACCTACCACTTTCAATTCTTGTCGTTGGAGTTGGCACTGCAGATTTTACACAAATGGAGGTTCATATAACCCCTCTCAAATGCAGAAAAATATTCAAGCTGAAAAATGAGAAGGAACCCAATTATTAATTTTTTTTTTATTTTTTATTTTTTGCTTTTTACACAATAGATTCTTGATGCTGATAATGGAAAACGACTGGAGAGCTCCACGGGAAGGATAGCTACAAGAGACATTGTGCAGTTTGTTCCAATGCGTGATGTGCTTGGTAAGTGCACATACATCTTTCTTCTGCATATATATATCAATGCCGGCCTCGTCAGGTTTTTCCTATTGGTCTTTCTTTCTACAAGGAAAAATGTCATTTGCAGCAGATTCTGTGACAAATTTTTTCCACAAATAAGTGGCTTTAAATTTTGTAACGAAATCACACATCTCCATAACAAATTCAGCTACAAATGTCAAATGTGTTATAACTGGTTATGTCTTGTTACAAATGACATTTTTTGTACATCTCATATGATCTGACTTGATATGTTTATGATCCGGTATGCATGCAGCAGGGCAAGTCTCAGTGGTGCAGGCCCTATTGGAAGAGCTTCCAGGGCAGTTCTTGACTTACATGCGTAGTAGAGACATTAAGCCCCTGAATGTCACCTCTTAGAGTTTAAGGGAGAAAATATTGTTGCATACAATATTCTTCTGAATTTGGAAAATTGATCCATTTCACGTGTTAATACTATTGTTAAACGTACAAACGGTACAATACACCCTTTATGGCTTGCACTATAGGGTAGGGCACCCACTTTGCATACAATTATTATGCCCATCATTTATGAATCCACATCAAATCCGTAACCATAACACAGCTTTCTTTTAAAATATACACACATCTACATTTAAATGATACCATCATTTGTTATACTCTCTCCGTCTCTTATAGGTCTTTTCAAAATCACTTTTTGTGGTTTAAAAAAGAGTAAAAAAAAAAGTTAAAGTTTACTAAAATCCCCAGTGAAAGTGTGTGGAGTATATTAAATGAAGTAGATGAGATGTAATATATAAAGTGAGGGTAGCTGTAGAATTTCAAATGTTAAAAAAAGGGATTGAGAATCTTTTTCAATTAAATTTGTATAAATGCCTTTATTTTTGTTATAACACTCCAATTAGCCACCAATACGGTTGCTCTCAACAACACTTGGGGGTCTGGAAATATGAAAAAGAATTGAATGGGGAAATAAGGATCCGAACAATATGTATGAAGATATGAAAAGAAAAACGTTATGAAAAATTATTATGGTCAGCAGAGTAAAATAAATGTGAAAAGAAAACAAAAGTGGTGAAGAAATGAACTGAAAACGGGAAAACCATTTTTCTTTTCAAAATCAAATAAAAAATGAGATAAATGGCTTCTCTCACAATTCTCCATCTTTGTTCAGAACGGAACAATGGGAGATTGGCAGTCCTACTTTATTGCCCAGAGGTAATGAAACAGAAAAAATTAATGAAGCATGAAAGAGCGAAAACTTCATTCTTAACTTTGTTGTTCGAGTGGTGATTCCATGCACTCCACTCCTAATTCCTTAACCTTCTCACAAAAGTTTTTGGACTTGAAAGCTAATGTGGAATAAGGCTTGTTTCACCCAGGCTAATGTGCCTAATCTTAATCTTTATCCTAATTCTAATCATAATCCTAATCTTAATTTTAATCTTAATTCTAATCTTAATAGTAAGAAGTCTACATCAACAAGGTCGATATAATTGGAATGAAAATTAGGACCATAAAAGTATTTGCCTTGCCCTTTCTTCACAACCCCCAAACAAAAAAATTAAGGAAAACTATTTTCCTCACCATTTTCTTAGGATTTTGAATTTCTTTTCTTGTCCTTAACTGTATATTTTTCTCCTTAATTCCTTGAACCAAACATAGTGTGGGAGTACAAGAGAAGAGAAAGCATATTCCACACATCTTATAGCCTCTTAACCGTAAGAAGAGTTACAAGTAATCATCACTTAGGTTTTCTTCTATAGCGTCAATGCAAGAGCCTACAGATCGTTCTTCTGTCATAGCCAATGCTAGCTTTGCTCGGGCATTCTCGTGGCGGCGCAAAATGAATATAGTATTCAGAATGGCCCATCTAACCAGAGAATCACTTTTCTTCTGTGTAAACCCCAGGCTTCTAAGTAGTCTGTCTAACTGCCATGTCAACAATGTCTTGATTAGCCATTTAAACCTCAACAAAATGACCAAATTCGACCTAGCACATCAGTGCAGAACCATATGTTTACTGTTTTATATCAAGACAATAGCCAAACAGAAGCTGCACTTTTTACGTGCCAAGTGACGAATGAAATGCAACAAATTTAAGGACAAATTGTTATTAGATGCACAAAATCAGCTCAAGAAGAGCACTAAGTACTACGTTGATCAACCATACTTTATTTGCTCGAGATTGAAATGTAGAGGAACAGTGTAAACCTGGTTAATATCTGCAAGTCCTCCCTCAGCACATCCAAAGAGAAGATACTCTGTAGCCACGCCTGCTAGTGCAACACAAGAAAACCTGTTCAGCATCTGCCAAAAAAAAAGTTAGCGTCTAAGATCTTTCTCACGAGAAAGAAATGATCATCATACTGCATATCTAAAGCAAGAGGCATACTGTGGCAGATACTCTTCCTTTATTAACCTGCAAAGGAAGTGATAAGTGTTTCATTACAAGAAAAAAAAACATACTGCATTACATTTAAAAGCCTAAAGAAACCTAGAAAATGTCACTGTAATATGAGAAGACAACCTACTTCCTCGATGAACTCAAAGTCCACAAATGCAGTCCCAGCTTGAACATTCAGTGATCCATCCTTTTTAAAAGCTTTAAACTGGTCAGTGTGTAACGCTTAGGAAGGATTCCAAGCAAATAAGCAATCAAAAAATGCCCTGCTTCATGCTGAACCAGGATCACGTGAGGATCAATTTGTGGCTCCAAAACCATTTTAAGAAATGTCTTTTTTCATTTTTTTGGAAGAAAAATAAACGGTAGTTGTAAGAGATAAATAGAAATAAGATGAAACAGTAAATCATGTTCAAAAGAAAGTATTACCTGAATAACCCTGTTGTGGTACTTTGGGCTGAGGGTGTGACCAATGGTGTCCAGAATTAAGGCACTGAGCCCTCCATTGAAGGAGACCTATCCAAAACCAATGATAAAGACTCAAGAATGGAAAAGCCCGGAAGGATAGACTAGGACTTCATCAACAGATGCAAATACTGAAGAAAATATCAAACTGATGAACTAATAAATTACTACACTTCGAGCTAAGAAATGTTTTTTTCACTGTTGCTTACTTTAAGGAGCGCATTATTTTGACAGCAAAGTCAAAAACCTTCCAGTTCTCTCTTTAAAATATCCAGCAGAAGCTTTTTAATTGAAAGATAGGAACTGTTAATTTGATGTGCTTCAGACTAAATTGTGCAAAGTTTAGGTGCCACCAACAAATTAAAACAATGCTTCATTTTGTAAATGCAGCAAGCATCACACACTGTCCCCAAGCTAAAGCAAAAGTACGCATAGCTCTAGAGAGTTATTTTCATGAATGTACAACTTTTAAATTTAGTACGTTACAACTATTGGAAATTTTCAAACAAAGTTATATTTTACTCTTAAATTTACTTATTGGTTTTACTAAATCTAGAACACTAGAACTTTTTTGATTAAAAGAATATAATGAAAATTAGCTTCCTTTATTCAAATTCAACTCTTTTCTAATTTAACATTAGAAAGAGTACTATTTTCATGAGCAAGAGGCAGGAAGACTACTTACTGAGTCAAATGTCCATAGAAACAAAAGTCCCAAAGAGACGGTGAGAATCTGTTGAGGATTGAAGTGCAGCACATTCAAAGCAGCAACACCCCCAGATATAGCTGCAATCTGTAAGTTTCTCTCAATAGCACCCAGTGTGGCATCAGCTGGTGATAAAAGAGAAGCGGTTTCTATTCCATTCACTCTGAGTTCGTCCAGAGAATATAGTCGCTGTGGTATCTGCAAAATGGCTTTTGGTCATATATTCAAATTTTTTTACATTCAAATCCGCCCAGATATTCAAAGACGCTTTTGATCGTGAATTTAAAACGCAAAAGAGCACAATAGAAGGATTAATTGCAAAGCTTTTGAATGGAAAGATCTAAATACTGCTATTGCTTTGGATACTTTCTCCGACAAACGAACCTGCCGGGCGGCGCCAAAACCCCTGAGACCGCCGGGGATTCCTTGAAATTCTTTGACGAGCGACAGTGCAGCTCTATCATCTCCTTTGCTCAGCTCATTATCCACTTCTTTCAGTACTCGCCGGCGTAAGCCGCCGCCGAATTGCGATGAACCCACAGTCCTGAAATTGCACCATCCACACGGACGCAATAATGATACAGATCCCACATAACAACAAGCCGCACTCATATTGGTTAAGTTTTTTTCCCACGAAAACAACACATTGGAATGGTTTACCACAACAAAAGGGACGAAAATGTAATCATTACTCCATCTTTCTCCAAAAAAAAAAAACCAAGTACACCAAAAGTATACTACTCCGTATAAGTTGTACTAAAAAAATGCAGCGACATTTTAATGGTTCATACGAATATAAAATATTAGTTTAATTAAAAAAATTGCACTAACATTTTTTGACAATGTAAATCATCACACTAGCACAAAATATCAATGCATGCCTTTGGAATATAAAATGTGGTACAAACTTGGTGTACATTTAGCTTAATCCTAAAAAAAACTCACTATATCAAATACCCCCCGGCCATCAAATCGTGGTGAAGACGTTAAACACCGCCCCTTTACCAATTAAGATAGGATTATGTATGCCGCGTAAAACGTTTGACGCACGGAGAAAGAAGAAAAAAAGAGGGTGAGCCCCCTTCAACGCTCCATTTTTTTAAAAAGTATCTGTTCGTTACCTTTTTTAAAAAATAAATTTCTTTGTCCGCTACGGATTATGTATGTCGCGTAAACTGTTTTTTAGATTAAAATAATTATTACTACAACCATTTAATAGAATGCGTACAGGAGATAATGCTATTAATCTTTTTAAGGCTTTATTTAAAGAATTTCAAGGAATATACGATAATGCATTAGAAGAAACAGCACCTCCTCCGCCCCTAAATCAAAAAAAAAGTTTTAAAGGAATAGTCGGTGGGCTTTTGGCAAGAAAAGGTAAGCGTGGTCAACCTTCGATGAGTTTAGGTGGTATAACTATAAGCTCGCACAACGAACTTGCTATGTACCAAGGGGTGCCATGCGATTACGATGACGACGTGGAGTTTGACGTCCTCGCATGGTGGAAGCAGAACGAACACATGATCCCATGTCCCGTAATGCTAGCAAGATAAGTTTTATCCGTCCTGGTATCATCGTAGCAGTGGAACAAGAATTCAGTTCTAGCGGAAACATTCTAACTGACTACTGAAGTTGTCTTAGCGCTGAATCTCTTGAAACACTTGTTTGCAACCGAGATTGGCTCTTGGCAAGACGTCGAGCTCAAGAGTATTCAATTCTAAACATTATATGAATGTAACCACAGATGGAAACCCTTGTTTTGAAGAATAAGTTATAAATTTTTTTTATGTTAATGTAAATATGTAATTAGTTTTTTTAGGTGAGCTACATATAAGCTCCTACGGGGGTTTCTTTACGGTTCTTTACCTCGTCATTTTTTTTGAACCGTCATGATATTAAATATAGTTGTTTGTCAAATCGTGTATTACTCATTTTACAATATTTAAATAACAACTACATTTTTAGATCTTTTATTTCATTATTACCTTTAACAATTACACATTACACTTTTTAAAATTTAAAAAAAAATGGTGGGGGGGGGATTGCTGAAACCGGCTTTATACTCCAATTTGTACACCGCAGGTATGCACATTCATTTTGTGTCAATGTAATGTTAAGGTAATAGTTCACACAGACACAAAATGTTAGTACAATTTTTGTTTAACGTACTAGTATTTTGTATCAATCTGAACCATCAAAAAATTAATGTATACCTATACTGTAAGTGTAAGATGGTTGATGCTCTAAAGATGGGTAGAAAACTAGAAAGGATTATGCTATGTGTACCCCAAGATTTGTACCCCAATTTGTACCACACAGTTTTGCACCAACATTTTGTGTTGGTGTGAAACTAATTTTTGTTAAACGCACCAATATTTGTGTCCGTGTAAATTTTTATTAATGCACCAACACTTGTGTCGGTGTAAACCATCGAAATGTTTATGCAAATCTGTGATGTACAAATGGGTATATTTGTTGGTGTAAGTGTAGCATTATGGGTGGGCATTCGGGTCCAGGAACCGCGGGTCGGAACCGAACCGCCAGGTTCGGGCCGAGTTAGGTCCGGGTCGTCTTTTCAAAAATTTAAAACGGTCCGGGTCGGTCCGGTTCCTATATATTTTAGGGTCGGTCCGGTTCCTCATTTTGAAATTGTTTGGGACCCGGACCGGACCGTTTTTTAAATACTAATATTATTTTTAATATTTTTTGAGTAAATATACGGTATATCCGCCTATTCCAATTAATTTTAGTAACTCTTTCGGTCCTTCCATATTCCAATCACAGTGCAGAACCGCAGAAGTGCATAAGTCATGTTCAATAAATGAAGCTAATTTCCACTGAATTAGAAAAAAAGTGTATTATTGAATCAAAAGTCATTTGCATATTTTTGTGTGTGGAATATGGTTGATTTTAAAATTTTGTTTTTTGCAGGTTTTTTGGATTTTTTGGAAGCCATGAAAATTGTCAATTTTGCTCTTTTTGAAACCTATTGACATTATAATGCCAAAATGTGGTTGTCTTCTTNAGTAAATATACGGTATATCCGCCTATTCCAATTAATTTTAGTAACTCTTTCGGTCCTTCCATATTCCAATCACAGTGCAGAACCGCAGAAGTGCATAAGTCATGTTCAATAAATGAAGCTAATTTCCACTGAATTAGAAAAAAAGTGTATTATTGAATCAAAAGTCATTTGCATATTTTTGTGTGTGGAATATGGTTGATTTTAAAATTTTGTTTTTTTGCAGGTTTTTTGGATTTTTTGGAAGCCATGAAAATTGTCAATTTTGCTCTTTTTGAAACCTATTGACATTATAATGCCAAAATGTGGTTGTCTTCTTTTTGTTGTTGTTGTTGGATGATCATGGGGTGTACACTTTACTCTCATGCCCCTCTTTGTAATTTTTTTTTTCATTTATTCCTCTTTTTTGAACTTTGAAGGCATTATTCTATAATTTCTATTTGTTTTGAAGAATGTTAGTATTATGACAGGTTCGGACCCGTTGACCCGGGAAATCGGCCCGTTTCAAACAAGCCGGGTTAGGTCTGGTTCCAATTTTAAAATTTTGAAAACCCGTTCCGGTCCGAACCATTTTAATAAAAACAAGCCGAGTCCGGTTTATATAAATTTGGACTCGGACCGGCCCGTGCCCACCCCTATGTAGCATGGTCCAACTAGAAATGGAGCATAAATTTGGCTAGAAAAGAGATTAGTCCCACCCACACGCATAAACCAAAGACAATCCCACTTTGAGCCTCCTCTTTTGTCGTCTCTCGGCATCATCAGCCTCTCGTTTCGTCGTCTTCCTCCGCTCCTTTTAGCACTCCGCGTACGCTAACGTGCGCTTCCCGTTTCCTTATCCATCCATCCCTTCAACTCGTAAGTCTTTCCTCTCCCACCACCATCAATGCTGAAAGATTGAACAACCAATCAATCATCCATTCCGCTTTCAATTACTTTTTGGAAGGAAGGGAAAGATTCATTCTCAATCTCCACGATGAAATGATCTTTCAACAAATAACATCTTCTGTTCTCCGATTCGCATATCTTTAAGGTCGATAGAGAGAGAGCGAAAGAAGTTTGAGGTTGTACATGGAAATTGGATCTGTTTTCTGAGGCCGTCCGTATTTTGATTCACGTTTGTTGTTTTAGCTGGAAGGTGCCTAATGACCAAAAATAGTGAAGCATCCCTGATTGAGTCTAAGAATGACTCCAAGGTATTCTATTTCTATCGATTACTATCTGCTTTTTCCTATCTTTGATTTTTGGTTTGTCTCACCCTATTGGTCTATTTTTACCCCAGTCTTACTATTCACACCTATCTTAGTGGTGTATTGTGATTTTTGGCAAGAACAAATGCTAGGGGTACTCATATTGGCAATTAGTCATGAAGTATGAGTTGTTCTTTTTGGTGGGGGTGGGGGTGGGGGAATTATTGATTGAAGTAGCATGTTGGAATATTTGTCTATCAATTACTCCATATATTGTTTTTTTACTGCCCCCCACCCAAACCCAAAAGAGGAGAAAATGCCCCAAATCCGAATTAATGTGAAGCCATCAAAGTTTTCTTGTCTAGTTCTTTCATCTTGCTGTGTTTATGGACTACAACTAAGTTGCACCAAGATGGGCCAGATTCTCAAACAGGACAGGAATGGGGAACCCCAAACTTTTCAAAATTTACAAAGACTTCGGCTGTTGGGACATATCCTGTACCCAAACAAGTTTTGGGAACGGGATACAACATTGAACTTGAGAACCATTGCAACGTACATCCAAGCTCATTCTTTTCTAAATAAAGAGTATAATTTGTACAAGAGAAGTTAAGTTTCGTCATATTTGATCTTTTTATACAAGGTATAAAAGGTGTTCCAAACGAGATGAGTGCGTTAAGCTTAGTCAAACCAACTAATAGATTTGAACATATAGCTATATTTTGATAGTTTATACATTGCGGAAGATTAAAAGGTTGTGCATTTGGAAGCATTACTCTTTTTAGGAGTATGATGTTTTAAAATGGTTTATGTTATGTTACATATGGCTAAATGGTAAGATTGGGCTTAACTACTTGGCTGAGCAGTCAGTTGTTTCTTCATCTGCAGCCATAACATTGCTTTAAATGTATTTGCAACAGAAAGCTACTTGTATATACAGTACATATATCATGATCTTAAAAAGCTCCAAATGGTGTAATATATCAACTAATGTTTCTCTTTAATTGATAGAGGGTAGTTCCACTGAACACATGGGTTCTCATCTCCAATTTCAAGCTGTCCTACAATCTATTACGCCGTCCGGATGGCACTTTCAACCGCCACTTGGCTGAGTTTCTTGATCGCAAGGTCCAGGCAAATGCAAATCCTGTTGACGGGGCCTTCTCATTTGATATTATTATTGATCGTGAAGTAGGCCTTATAAGTCGAATATATAGGCCTGCGTATGAGGACGGAAGAGTACCAAGTTTGTCTGAGCTTGAAATCCCTGTGTGCTCCTCCAATTTGGTCCCCGTCATTATCTTCTTTCACGGTGGAAGCTTCGCACACTCTTCTTGCAACAGTGCAATCTACGACACTTTATGTCGCCGTCTTGTGGGTATTTGCAAGGCCATTATTGTATCGGTTAACTACAGGCGAGCACCAGAGAATAGGTATCCTTCAGCGTATGATGATGGATGGACTGCTCTCAAGTGGGTCAGTTCTAGGAAATGGATGCAGAGCAAGGACTCTAAAGTTCATGTTTACCTAGCAGGAGACAGCTCCGGTGGCAATATTGTTCACAATGTGGCTCTCAGAGCAGCAGAGTCAGACATAGAAGTGTTGGGGAGCATATTGCTCAACCCAATGTTTGGGGGAGAAATGAGAACGGAGTCAGAAAAACGGTTGGATGGAAAATATTTTGTCACCCTTCAGGACCGAGATTGGTATTGGAGAGCCTTTCTTCCTGAAGGTGCGGATAGGGACCATCCCGCATGCAACCCGTTTGGTCCAAACCCTATAAACCTTGAAGGAGTTAAGTTCCCGAGGAGTCTTGTGGTCGTGGCGGGCTTGGACCTTGTTCAGGATTGGCAAATGGCTTATGTTGATGGGCTTAAGAAGGCTGGGCAAGAGGTCAAACTCATTTACCTGGAGAAGGCGACGATTGGGTTCTATCTGTTGCCAAACAATGACTACTTCTACACTGTCATGGATGAGATAAGTAACTTTGTGAGTTCTGGCTGAATATTTTCCTTTGGAAGTTTATCCTACAACTGTGTTTTCATATAGTCTCCTTCGTCATGCATGCTAAGCATGGATTCTACCCTAGAGGCTCTCCCTCGCAAGGGTTAGGTTCAATGGCGGACCTAGGCTTGGAAGCCCACTGGCATGCACATATATATTACACTAAAAATAATATTGAATGTGTAGCCGAATAGGCTGATTGGTGCAGCTCAGCTTAAGCCTCCAAATCTGCTGCTGATTACACTAAAATTTCCAAGTGTTCTAAACTCTTAAAGGAGAGAGGGCCAAGTGTAGATGTGGGGCTGATCTATGACAGACCAGCAACATTGCCAAGAATTTACACTACTAGTGTATTATTACTACCACTCTTACTACTACTAGTAGCTGAGTATTTTTATGATATTGTGTTGCAGTTCATGGATAGAGATTATCCATGTAGGTTAGTGAAATTGTAACATATTATGTTTTCTACGAAGTTACTCGTGTATCCTTACATTAAACGATGCATTACAGGCACCATTCATAAGGAGGTGATTTGGCAAGACTTTGAAATTCTAGCTGTTACCGAGGATATAATCTTAAATAAGAGTGTGTAGAGGTCTAAGATTAGAGTAGTTAGATCTTCGTCGGGTAGTTTTGTCATTGTGGTCTTGTGCTTTGTAGACTTGGGGTCTTTCTCATTAGATTTGTGTATGTCTTTTGTTATACTGAGCTTTCCTTCTCCTTAGTTTGTCTTTAATCATTTTTTGTTGGGTTTCTACTCTCTCTGTTGCTTGAGCTGGGGATTTTTAGAAGTAGTTTCTCTAGGAGTAAGGTCTATGTATGCACACTTTCCTAAGACCTTGTTTTTGTGGGACTATATTGAGTTGTGAATACTTGTGATTGTGATTCTCATTCTCTAAGTAAGTTGCTTTTGTGGGATTGTACTGGATTGTTGTGGTTGTGTTTCTCATTCTCAAAAGGGAAATGATGTGTGCACTTTTGATTTTACCATTGACACTCCAAAATATACTTTTCATGTAAGAGGAATAGTATATCTTGGATTGTCATAGCAAAATTTGGAATATAAATCATAGTTCTAGAAATTGGATCAGATCGGCCGGTTTGGACTATGAATTGGCGAATGACGGGTAACGTGCATTCAACCGGACTGAACTAGCCGTTTGGACCGGTCTAACCTTTTTTCGTTTTGCGAATTTGTAATTTATTTTATTCAAGGCAGTTTGAACATCTAATCTCTTAGGCCATGTTCTCTTCATCCGATCGGATTAGTTTTGATTTGATTGGAATAAATTTTGATCAAATCTAGTATGATTTGATCTCAATGTAATTATATTTAAAGCTATTTTTTATTTGATTTGGTCAGAATAAATAATGAGAAAAAAAGTTTAAGAGAACATGACCTTAGACACCTAGTTTAGTTGTAGATCATCTAAGTTAGAATATTTTTTTTGTTACACTTTATCTTAATATTCGTAATTACTTACTAGTTAAAAAATAAAGATTCTTAAGGATTTTATTTCATTTGTTATAAACATTAAAAAATATTTTTTTATAGCTATGGTTTAAATTTTAAATTATTCATATATTTAATAATTATTACAAAATGTATTCATGTAAATATTTCATTTCAGTGCTTTGTTTAAATATTGAGTTAACTTATTTGAAAAATTAAAATCACCTCTTAGTTTATAAAATTTTTAAAATGTGTAAATTTTACTTTTTTAAAATATAATTATACACACGCACACACACTCGACCCACCAATTCGAGCAGTGAACCACCTTGACTGGTTCAGTGGCCGATCTGGTTTTTAAAACTATGATGCAAATATCATTTCCCTTCTCAAAATAAGCAAGAATGGGTGGGTATTGTATTTTTGATAAATTTTATTCTAAAAAATAAATAAATACTGTAGCAATTTTTGATTTTTTTATTTCAGATTTTGAAAAGCATTTGATGTTGGTTCTATGCCCCAAAATAATATTTTGAAAATAAACAACTTAACGATTTTCTTGAAGTGGAGCCTTGATGTCACAACAAAAATATCTAAAACAAAACTTACAAAACTCTGTTTGGAGTACCTATGATACCATCTTTGTAAAATTGATTATTTCTACTCTCTGACTCCCGAATAACCTCCGCTTGCCCCATCTCCAACGCACACGCTCACCCCCTCCAATTATACCGCTACAAACATTAGATATGTGAAAAAAATGACCCCTAGGAATTTTAAATAATTTTAGAAAAAATTCTATAAATAATTTTTTTTGTAAAACAATAACAATATCACTTCAAATCAGAGTATAACATTTCACAAATATGTGCCGGGGGAACATGAACCCACTCTAACCAATCAGACTCAGACTCAAAATCAGACGCTCGAGCAAACATATTAGCCACCTGGTTCATTGATCTTCTAACGACTGACAGCATGAGAGATTCAAAGTTTCGCATCATTGTCTTACAATCTTTTATAACATGTGACTAGACCTTGCAAAACTGACCCAGACCCGATAACCCGAACCGAATAACCCGGAACCGAACCCGATTTGACCCGAAAACTGAAGAACCGAAATAGAACCGAACACCCCAAATGATCCGATCCGAACCGAATGCAAACCGAATGTATTCAGACCCGATTCAGACCCGAATCCGATTAAACCCGGACCGATTAAACCCGAACCGATTAAACTCGAACCCGGTTAAACCCGAACCCGATTAAACCCGGAACCGATTAGACCCGAACCCGATTAGACCCAAAATTGATCAAATTCATTAATATTTCATTTATCAAATGAATTTGGAGAAAAAGAATTACCTATATATTTTTACATATGTTGATGTGTTTCTAAAAAAACATATTTAAATTATGGGTGCAAACCATGTAACTACTTTCATGTACAAATCTTTTACTTTGCATTTTATAACTTAAGTTAAAATACTTTTGTATTTTTATAGAAAGTATATAAAAATTATAGTTAACTAAATTAACTAAGTTTATTATGTGATTTATTCATTTATTAGTATGTATGTGTTTACATTATACTTGAACTAATATAAATTTAAACCGATATGAACTCAAATCTATATAAACCCAAATCAATACAACCCGAATTGATACAAACTTGAACCGATATAACCCGAACCGATACAAACCGAACCGATATAAACCCGAACCGATGAACCGATATAAATCCGAACCGATACAAACCCGAACCGAAACCGAAAACCAATCAAAACGAAATAAACCCGGAACCGAACTGACCCGAACCGAAACGACCCGAACCGATTATAACATATATCCGAAAGAGACCCGAACCGGAACCGAACCGATTGACCCGATTGCCAGGTCTACATGTGGCTATCTATATTTAGTTTCCAATTCTAAGATATTACGTGTATGATCTTCAATTTTAGAATACGGGTATCTAATAAATAGTCCTTTGGTGACTACATGTGGAAAAAATATTCGGTCTAAAGGACTAATTATAATAACCTTTTTCAAAATTTGTGAACTACGAATGTAATATCTTAGAATTATTAAATAAATATGAAAAATAGCATGTTATAGGGACTATTTGTGAAATTTACTTAAAATATATTTCAGGGTTAAATATATTTTTAGTCTATGCAAAATTTGTTACTTTTGTTTTTTTCCATATAATTTTTTTATTCAAATTATTCTTACAATTATTTTAAAAATGACCCCTAAACGTTATCTACACTTTTAATTTGTTGAGATAATACATTTATTTTATACTCAAAACTCCACTTATGTATATATAATACTTAGTCATAATTCTCATTCCTTAAATTCTGTTCTTTGCAAATTTGAGTATGTGTATTATATAAATATATAAATATATATATATATATATATATAGATGTGTGTGTGTGTGTGTGTGTGTGTATGTATGTATGTATGTATGTATGTATGTATGTATGTATGTATGTATGTATATATGTATGTATGTGTGTGTGTCTGTTTTAGTATTAATATTAATATTAATATTAATATTTTTATTAAAATTAAAAGTAAAATTAATATTAATATTAATATTAATATTAATATTAATATTAATATTAATATTAATATTAATATTAATATTAATATTAATATTAATGTTAATGTTAATATTAAATATTAAATATTAAATATTAATATCAATATCGATATCAATATTAATATTAATTATAAGATTAATATAAGGAAAAGCAAAAGTCCTTTTGGAGTAATATTTTGGATATTTTAGTGTACATCCGGAGTATATTTTAAAATATTTTTGTATGTTTGGATGTTTTAAAATATTATAAGGTCCCATCATTTTTAAAACATACTCTGCGGTACCCTAATATATCTAAAAAGTTACTCGAGAGGGACTTTCCTTTTTTTCTTTTTTTTAAATTAAAATTAATATTATCTTTATTATTATTAGAGTGAGTGCGGCGATCGTCCAACGCGACTCAATAGGCAACATTAGCTATGGTGACATCTGTGGAAAATAATGGTGAAGTGTGTAACAATAATAATAGTAATTATAATATTATAATAATAATAGAATAATGAAAAAATGAAAATCCATTCAGTAAGGTTTTATCTATTTTAGGGTACCCCAAAGAATATTTTAAAAAAAGATGTGACCTTAAAATTTTTTTTGATAACGACGTTAAAGTTCATTCAACGAAACTGGGGGTACTTAGGAGGATATTTTTGGAAGAAGAAGATGAAAAGATAACGGAGAAAGTGAACGTGATGGAGGGATGGGTTGAAAGTTTCCCAGAGTTAGTTCTCAGATATTTTAGGGTACCTAGGAGTATATTTTTAAAAACCATGGGACGTGGAAGTTCTTATCACTAAACCAAGGATATCCAGTAGTAATTTTTTGTTATTTAGTCACTAAAATTTCATAATTGCCAAACTCAATTTTAAGTAAATGTAAAGTGTATACATTATTTTCACCAAAATTATTATTTCAAAAACCGAATCTCATTTCATATGTTCCTTTCGTCCCAACATAAGACTCATGTTAACAAAAAAATTTAAAACAATTCTAAATTTTATTTATTTGAAAATAACTTCGACCAAACATTATAAGTCGATACCGGAGTCTTGGTCCAGAATTGATTGATCTGTTCATTAAATATTTTATTTACATGATATTCTACTAAATGAAATAAGTTTAAACAATTTGAAATGTTTACTTTAAAATTTATTAAATTATGTTTATGGTTGCTTTTATTATGTTATCATCCTATACATTTAAAAATTATTTTTCATATTTAATGAATTTTTATTTTGAAAATGTACTAATTTGAAAAAATATATTGTTGAAATATTGGAATAATAATATTGCATTCAATTATGGAATACATGATAGAGACACTCCTAAAACACCAATAAATAGAGAAATGACACTAACTAAAATACATTTACCATAAATAAGAAAATGAAGCTGACTAATAATCAAGCACTACATAACCAATACTACCATAAGTCCTACTACTATTATTATTGTCTAACATCCCCTCAAGCTTAACTCTGACTGAATGAAGATGAAGCTTGGATTCTAACTGAGTACTAGAAACCTTGAGAAGAAAGAAGTTTGATGTGTGCTGATAGCTGATAACATCAAAGAAGAAGAGAGAGAAGCCTAACGTGCGGTGGTAGCTGCTAACATATTTGAAGAAGGGAGAAAGATGACAAGTACTTGTAGCTGCTGGCGTAAAAAAAGAAGAGAACGTTATTGGAAGTGTCTGTTTTATTGACGATCTTTGACAGTTTTTTGTCTTTCTCTTAGACACGGACAATGTCCTATTTCTTTTTCTCAATTGTGAGTTGTGAGAATATTTATGACTTTCTGGGGGGGTGTAGATATATTCTTTCCTTTTAATTTTCCCCTTTTGACTTTGATTCTATTTTGACTAATAATCCAGCACTATCATAACCAATACTACAATAAGTAATCCTGTTATTGTTATTGTTGTTTAACACGCACAATTAAAAAGGACCATTTTGAGAAATTAGTACAAGTTTTAACACTATTTTTATCGGTGTTACTCGGATGCATATTATATCCTACATCTGGTTGTACGGGTAGAATCGCATAGCCAGCAAAAATTAACAAACCAACGCACATTCGACGAGAAACGAAGAGAGGGGTGATGACGAACCCTAACTACTTTGATAGGAGAACGAAGGAGCACATCGGTGGAAAACCCTAGCTGCGCCGTTCGGAGAACGAAAGGAGCACAGAGAAATCTCTAACCGTGGTTGTGTTGTTCGTGGAAGAAGTTGCCTCGTCGAGATTTGTAGCACTGATAGTGTAGATACTATGCAAGCGATGAAGATGACTATGCTAATTAGAAGTACTGTAAGTTTAATTAAACTATTAGATTATATTTTTCAAATATGAAGAGAATGAACCGTACGTTACTTGAGAATGAACACTGCTTATTTGAGAATAAGTACTACTTTGTTTCAAAATGAACACTACGTTATTCGTAAATGAATATTATAATTGTATTGAACAAATGTGTGAAAACGAAAGCTATGTTATTTCAGAATGAGTACAACGATATCACAGAATGAGTACTATGTTATTTCAAAATAAACACTTATGTTTTGTGCGAAAATAAGTATTACCCTTTCTCAAATTGAGTACTATCCAACAGAGGCGGATCCAGGATTTTACAACCATGGGGTCCTCTACCTCTCATTCTCATCTCAAATTACTACTTCATAAGTCTTAATATTTAACAATAAACTAAAGCTAATATTTGAAAAGTACTATAATTAATACATAGAAATAAAGTCATACGAAAATAATATTGTTTACAATTGTACTAGTCTAACTTTCATACTTTGGAAGTGATATATAATTACATCATCACTAATGGTGGAAAAGACATCTCCAAAGACTCAAAATCCAGGGTCAGCTTCCAAAAACTCAAAATCAAAATTTCTTTCAATAGAAGTAGTTTGAGTGCTTTCTTGAACATGTGTAGGTTGAGTGCCTTCTTGAATATGAATGGATTGAGTACTTTCTTGAACAACTATAGATGGAGCTTTTACTTGAGAGTTGAGACACCGGAGCACTAACACTGTTCCTAATTTCACTCGACTCCGAATCTTTGAATTTGGATAGCTTTTTGAAGTACCTTTGCATTTTAAATTCTGTAAATAAAAAATTAATACTAATTCATAAATTAGACATAAAATGAACATTAATACAATAATACTTATCACTTGCAATCCTAAATCAATTTTCTATTGAAGAAAAAATTTTGATTCTTTAATGAATAAGTAATGAATAAAAAATAAATTTATAAATTATTATATATTTATATATTACTAATCATATATCAAACTTCAAACTACTATAAAAATTAAATTTATTAAAATAAAGAAAAGTTTTTTAGACTAACTATTCAAAATTAAAAATTTGAAATATAGAATTGGGAAGAGAGGTCAATTTTGACCCAAGCTCTTTTTTATAAAAAAAGAAAAAGCAACTCCAAGTACCTGAACGGGAATTGAACTCGGGTACCTTGGGTAAAGAAGCTCCGCTAGTCCCGCACGCTTCCATTACACCAAACACAAATATACTTACTAGGAGTTACGCGTTAATTATATACTAATATTTGTACAAACCTAATACTGACCTACACCGGGGTCCGTGGGGTCCCGGAACCCCATAGGACTCAAGGTAGATCCGCCTTTGCTATTGTGTCTTACTTCTAATAGAGCCGATTGTACCATATACAAATTCTTATTTGGAGGAGTAAATTGAGAATTATCTGAGTATCGTCTCGATAGTTAATTCATTTTAGAGACAAATTAAAAAATACATAATTATTGAATATCATTGTTTTTAAAATGAGTAGTTTAGGTGGAAAAGCACATCACGTTATTATTAACTTATTATTGGATGAGAATGTCATTGATGAAATGTTTGGGTCTTTGCCGATATTTTTGAAAAAATATTTGGATTGGCTTCCACCGCAGTTAACAGGGACTCTCCCCAATCAAGAGAGAGAAAGAGAAAGCAATACGGTGAAATGAGAAGAGAAGAGAGAGGAAACGTTTTCCAGTTCAAAAGGTCAAACTCACAACCATAAAACCAATCTCTTGGAGAAATCAATAAATTTCCCGTTCGTGCTCTCCGTTTTGGTTAATGCTTTATCATCTGACCTTCAACTCACGTTAGCAGCGTCGCTCGGCGGCGACCGGCGACCGGAGACAGCCACAGAGGCTGCGGCGGAACCGACAAATCGTACTGATACCAACAGAAACAGCAACGCAGGAAAGCAGATACACAATTTTGTGTTAGTTCCATCCGGCAACTGCTGCCTCTGCGGGTCAGACCTCTGAAGAAGTTTTCTTTGTTTTTCTTCCGGTTTATTATGAAGAAAAGCCAAAGTATCAATAATAGCGTGAACAATAAGGCAAAGAATGGGGCTACAAATGGATTTCTTCCTAATTCTTTCAAGTTCATATCCTCCTGCATCAAAACTGTTTCCTCTAACGTGCGATGTGCTGGAGCCTCTGTAGCAGGCTCCATCTCGGCTGCTGCCTCTGAATTGGATGATCATCACAAAGACCAGGTCCTACGCACTTCATAGCTCCAATGATTTAAATTTTACTTGTTACTTAATTTGTAGTAGTGCTAATTTTTTCGATTTTTGTTTGGAAAATGGTGATATTCTAGGCTGTCTAGCTTATGCTATTCAGAATAACCTTTTGTCGACTGTTGTTGGTTTTTACTCCGTGTAATTTCATGCTTGTTTTTGTTTATTATTATAAAATTTGCTGCTTTGAGACATTTAACTTTACACATTGCGTCAAGTTAATTTCACAGACTGTAGAATGGCCCTTCTTGAGGATTATATAGATATTCACTAAAGGAACGTTACGCACAGACATCTGACCGGCATAGCTATAATGACTTTGTCGAGGTGTTGGCTTTTGTTGGTTCTTCACTTTAGTGCTCAACCCTCCATATTGAGTTATTTTTTGTAATGTTTTATAGGGATTTAGGTCAGTATACTTTTATTAGTACACTTAGCTTTATTTGATTGTAAGTTGTAACATAATGCCTGGGTAAGTATTAGTTATCCGTGCATTGAATTGTTTCTTTTAGTAGAATTAGCTATAGATTGCTATATCTTCTCTTTATTGATGGGGTTCTATACATATCACATACATGCCCATCAAAGCATGTTAATATTATGTTCGAAATTGCATTATGAAGCCAAGCAATGAGGCCTGCCTAATGGCATTTTTGGAGAAGTTATTGATGAGTTTGAACTGAGGTTAAAGCAATATGAGTTATACTTTTCTTTTAAAAATATCATAAACCATGTAATGGTGCACTCCCCATCTTTTTCCAAGCAACCTCTTCTCCACACATCAACCTTTTAAAACCTTTTCCTCTTTCTACTCTTCAGTCTTCTACTCTCTACACAACATTCCTGGCAAGATATTTTCCCCAAGGCAGGTATGTGTATCTTCATTTGAAGTGTTCACTAAAAACCTTGTCCCTGCCCACTAAGCACTTCATTAGTCCACTTCCCCTACTCACATTTAGTCCTAAGCATCTTACAAACATTATTATAGAGACTTAGTGTTCACTGCCAAGTGTCTCACAAACTCACAAACATTATCTAGAGCCTTAGTGCTTAGTGCTCATCGTCTAATGCCTTTTAAGGGCCTCATCTATGCAGGGCCTTTTATGGGTATTGTCTATCGTTTTTTTTTCAGATTTTTTGTTCTTTATGGTTTCGATGAATAATACCTTTATTATATTTATGATGAAGTCATTTTGTGTTCTCATTATAATTTTGTCCTCTTGGGTTTGAACATTGACAAACAGGTTTTGTGGGCTTGCTTTGACAAACTTGAATTAGGCCCCTCATCATTCAAAAACATTCTGCTAATTGGCTATTCCAATGGTTTTCAAGTCTTGGATGTTGAAGATGCTTCTAATGTATGTGAACTTGTCTCTCATCGGGATGATCCAGTAACATTTCTACAGATGCAGCCCATCCCTGCAAAGTCTGATGGCTGTGAGGGATTTAGAAATTCACATCCTATGCTCTTGGTGGTGGCTTGTGGTGAAGCAGCTCAATCCGTCTCAGGACAAAGCAAGAGGGATGGATTCATTGAGCCTCAAGCTGGAAACGTTGTTAACATGCCTACTGCATCTACTCTAAGATTTTACTCTCTAAGGTCCCACAATTATGTTCATATATTGCGATTCAGGTCTACTGTTTATATGGTTAGATCTAGTCCACAGATAGTTGCTGTGGGCCTTGCGACACAGGTGAACATCTTTACCTTTTCACTCTAACGATTCAAAGAATTGATGTGTACTATGCATTTGACTCGGTGCTCAGTAACCTAAATCTGTTCCCGGGATATGAGTTTCTATATCCTGAACATTCTAATATTTTAATGACAGATATATTGCTTTGATGCGATCACTCTAGAGAACAAGTTAAGTGTTCTCACGTATCCTGTGCCTCACCCAGGGAGTCAGGGCTTTATGGGAGTCAATATTGGTTATGGCCCAATGGCAGTAGGGCCAAGGTGGTTAGCTTATTCCTCAAACAACCCAATGATAGCAAACACAGGACGATTAAGTCCACAAAGTCTTAGTCCTTCTCAGGGTGTTAGCCCATCTACATCTCCAGGCAATGGAAACCTTGTAGCTAGATACGCCATGGAATCAAGTAAACAACTTGCTTCTGGATTGATCAATCTTGGGGACATGGGCTACAAGACATTGTCAAAGTATTGTCATGAGCTTCTTCCTGATGGTTCCAGTTCGCCTCTATCATCAAGTGCTGTCTGGAATGTTGGAAGAGGTCCAGTTCACTTCAATGAAAATGATGCTGCTGGGACGGTTAGTCTTGCTAATACTTGTGGACTAAGAAAAACATGCATGAAGTTATGGATTAGTTTGATAGGAATAACACCATTTTTACTTAACCAATATCATATAACTATGGTGGGATTTAACAGGGTTCATCATCGTTGTTGTATCATATTACTTCCTATATTGCTGCATTTTGTTTCTCTTTCCATGATCACCATTTTTTCATTTGCACCCTACAGTAAAATGGTAAGCAAGTTCTTCCTCCTATGAGCTGATGTGTAACTTCCTCAAGTGCTGAACATCTTTCTTGGGAAGGAATACACTTTAAAGAACTCCCTTTGCTTTTATACATTAAACTTGAAATTTAAAAAATGTAGGCATTGAAGTCTGAATTCTCAAGAGTGATTGGCACGTTTAGCAGCAAATTGTTTGCGACTGAGGACATATTGCCACCATTTGGCCCACGTAGTATAATTGATTTAGNTGAAAGTTGAGAAGTCCCCATAAAACCTTTTGTGAAAAAAATAGTGTAGATAAAAATGGCACTTTTATGTGCAAATTCATTAATCCTATATAAGTGAGTAAATCATCTTCCTAATTTCTGTTGAATTTATAAAGAAATCAACAATTGAATTAGATGTTTAAATCCAGTCAATCTTATATCTATTTTGTGCAATTTTTTTTATATATTTAAAATAGTTTTAGCAACTCTTTGTGGCAGTAATTCTGCAGCTTCAAAGAGTTGTTCTTTTATGATAAAAAATGATGTAGTACGTCTCCACTTTTAACTCGTGTATATTAATTAGTAGAATCAATAATTTTATTGTATTCTTTTATTTTCTTAAAAAATAAATGTAGTTTTTACTGTGTCTTAGGGTCCGTTTGGTACACGGAATTGACGGAATTGATAATTGAAATTCTATTGAATTGAATTCTCCAATTCCAATTCATTTTTGGCACTGCCAACTCCAAATCCACATATTTTTGTGCTGCCAAACAGCTGAATTGGAATTGTTGTCCCCAATTTCATAATTTGAATTCCGTGTACCAAATGGAGCCTTATGCTATTTGTCTTAAAATGATGTTTGATGGTTCTGGTTGATTCAGAAGACAATTTGTTTGTTTTACTGGGGAATGATGTGACTAATAATATATTTATCTAAATAGCCTAACAATTCCATTTTGATTTGATTTTCACTGATGATTAGCTTGATTGAAGTGTTTACGAACAACTAAAATAGTGAAATGTAGAGATTAGGCTAATAACCTAAACTGCATCTCTGTTTAATGATTCATAATGATTTAGAAGACAATTTGTTTGTATTACTATGAAATGATGTGACTTCTAGTATTTTGCCTTAAAAGCGAAGCGGTGTCATGTTGATTTGGTTAAAATTTCACATGTAAGAACTAATAAGTTTGATTGAAGTTTTAACTAACAATGCAAATAGTAAAATGTAGACTTTAGTGGTATTGGAACTGTTGATCTAAGAGAGCTATTGTTCTTACGTGTTTTATTGCAGGTTGTGGTTAAAGATTTCATGTCCAGAACTATTATTTCACAATTTAGGGCCCATACAAGCCCCATATCTGTTCTCTGTTTTGACCCTAGTGGCACTCTCTTGGTCACTGCTTCCATACGTGGTAACAATATAAATATTTATCGGATAATGCCGTCGTGTTCTCCGAATGGAGCAGGTGCACATAACAATGATTGGAGTTCTTCTCATATCCACCTCTACAAGCTTCACCGAGGCGTGACTCCAGCTGTGTGTACTTTTGCCACATTTTTTGTAATACATTTTTGTTTTTGACATATATTCTAGAATCTAGACAGTATTTGATCTTTTAATGCAATATGTTTGTCTAACAGGTGATACAAGACATTTGTTTTAGTCACTATAGTCAATGGGTAGGTATTATTTCAACCAAGGGGACATGCCATGTTTTTGTTCTATCCCCTTTTGGTGGAGAGGCAGGGCTTCAGTTACAGAGCACTCATGCTAACGGGACAACATTAACACCCATACTATCTATGCCATGGTGGTCTGCTTCATCTTTTTCAACAAACCAGCACTCTTGTAGTCCCCCACCAACACCTATCACCCTGTCTGTTGTTAGCAGAATTAAAAATGTCTCTGGTTGGCTTAATACAGTGAGCAGTGTGGCATCTTCTGCAGCAGGAAGGGTGTCTGTACCTTCTGGTGTTATTGCAGCTGTTTTTCATAATTGCATCCACCAAGATGTGCAGCATGCTCCCCAAAGTTTGAATATCTTAGAACATTTGTTGGCCTTCACCCCTAGTGGACATCTAATTCAATATGAAATGATTCCTTCTCTTGGTCGAGAGCAGGGTCAATCTTCTTTGAGAAATGGGACAGGGCACATGCAGATGCAGGAGGATGATCTGGGAGTGAAAGTTGAGCCTGTTCAATGGTGGGATGTTTGTCGAAGGGAAGACTGGCCTGAAAGAGAGGAGCGTGTTCAGGAAATATACCTTTGGAACAATGGCTTTATGGAAACTATCACAAACACTTCTGCTAGGGAAGAGGATGAAATTGGGGGTAAATGTATGTCCAAGCCATGCAGTCAGTCTCACTGGTATCTTTCAAATGCCGAGGTTCAATCAAGGTCGTGGAGGATACCAATTTGGCAGAAATCTAAGGTAGAGCTACCTTCTTCATAGGCTCTCAGTAATTATTTTAGGTTTAACTCTGTGGAGGTTTTCTATAAATAATTAGTACCAATGATAATTTCATATTTGCTTTAGATATGCTTCTATACTATGAGTCTCCAAGGGTGTACAGAGCGTTATATTGATCAAGTTTCTCACAGTGGGGAGATTGACATTGAGAACATACCTGTGAATGAAGTCGAAATAAAGCGAAAGGATTTGTTACCTGTATTTGACCATTTTCAAACAATTCACACGAATTTGAATGATGAAAGGTATTCCTAGATCTGCATGCCCACTTCTCAATGAATGCTTGTGCTACCGATTGTTCACTTCTATGATATTATGACCGAAGAATTATAAACTATGATTTTATTCTATACATGTCTGGTATTTGATTGACTAGATGCTCCTACTCAGAAAGTGATTGAATATTTGGGTAAAAGGAGGGTATTTTTTGTCAAGAGTTGGTGTCTTGTGTATAAGTGTCAGGACTGTCAGGTGATTGAATACTTGGGCAAACTTCTCAACCTTGCTCTTAATTATGCCCTATCCATAAGACTAGACTGAATCTTTCAAACAAAGTCCATGGAGATTGATTTAAACCATTCAACGCTTTCTGAAAACTACACATAAGACTTGGCACCCCTAAGCATGAAAGAGTGGATGTGGCAACTGGCAAGTCATCCTTAGGCAATGCTAGGACCCCCATGAGCTGGACAGGCACAGGCCGTGGACGGCAGTGATAATGTGAAGGGATTCTCCAAACATCTAGTAAAAAAATAGGGAAATCAAATGCAGGGAGTTGAGTGGCAATACCTGAAAAAACATTATTCGGTTAGTCAGATATAGTAAAGTATGAATTTTATACACCAGTATATGTGTTACCACATTCTTTTGAAGGATAATGACATTGATATTTTTTTTGAACCCAAGAATAACCATCAAAACATATTTGATAGCTCGAGTCGTAAGATCATTAAGACCATGGACAACATTATGGAAAAACAAGTGTGGGGACAAAATATATGCTGCCTTACCTCTATAAACAATAAAGACTGTTTCCATTAGACCCATAATGCATTGTTGCATTTACGACCCAAAACTTCATAGAAAAAACAAAGTAAAGCAAGTTTAATGTCTTGTTTTAATTCAATCCATTATTTAGTAAAGTGTTACTCCGTATTTATCATCTCCTTAAGCTTCATTGACAATGGATGCCGAAGGATAACACTTGTTTGGAAGACCTTGCAAAACGATAAGACCTGTCTTCAGAGTGGCCTTTACAAGTTTACAACAGGAACACGAAGGATGATCACTTCTCTTTCTCTGTTTCTTCTCTTCATCTCCCTTCGCATCTATCTTCCTTAGCTCTTCTATTCTTCTTTTTCTTCCTACTTTTTCCCTCTTCTATTCTTCTTTGTCTTCTTTTTTCTTCCACTTCTATTTTTCTTTTTTTTTCTTTTTTTCTATTTCTTCTTCGTCCTCTTCAATTCTTCTTATTCCTACTTTTTTCTTTTTCCTCTTATATTTTTATTTTTTCTCTTCGTTTTTTCTGCTTATAAAGAAAGGCTTTAATTTCAGTTTCAAACAAGTTCGAATGAGTTGGAATCGACATCGTCGATTGATCAAAGAATTGGGGTTGCATCAATTGAATCTGAAGCCGAGCAAAGCTGCAACGATCCAAAGTTGAAGTTTGGTTGAATCTGAAGAGTCTCTCCCTCTCCCTCTTCTCTCCCAACAAAACAAGGTTAAAGGAAGCCTCTCCATCCCCTCCCATTCCCTTCCCCCCAACCAAGCAGACCCATAGTGCTAATATCATTAAAGCTTGGCAATCCCCAGCAGGATGGAGGACGTATTAATTACAATGTCCCTCTTTAAATTTTCAGTCTTTTACCCAAAAACCGCGTCTAAAAATTAAAATGCATTGGGCCTGTCACCATTAAGTCTTTTGGATGTGGTGGTTCAATCCCCTAAAAAGTTGAAGGAAATGAAACTTTTCCCTCAGGTACATAACCAGATCCTGTAATGTTAGACGCATTAGCATCAATTTCAATAGTATTGGATATGACTAAATCACTTCTAACTTTTTGACTATCTTGTGATGGTTCATATGGGGCACCGAACATAGTTTTTTATGAGAGAAATAAGATCGAGGTCAAAGACAAGTTGGAAAGGGATGCTGACACACACAATAGGCACAATGGAGGTCAGAAACTAGTAAAATGAAGTTGGGAAACGAATCAACATGTGCATGGTGGCACATGGGGTCCATGAGCTCTGGTTGTAGCAGACCAATGTAGCTCTTGAGATGCCAAAAAAGTATGAATTTCTTGTAAACAGAGTCACTGGCCCTTCTCGTGTTGTCCTTTCATCAAATTATTGTGATATGAGATATGTTTTGGTGGGCAGAGATGAAAGAAAGTGTGCAGTGTGAACATTGATCAGATTGTTTCTTGTTCATAAATGGTTCTCATACCTACTTAAGTTTTGGGAGTAGAATTGTGCTTCGAAACATTCTAAGCTTAGTGTAAATAGAAAAAAGATACAATAGCGCAAACAATTTCCTCATATTTAGAGATTATTTACTAACTATGCAATAAAGCAATCAAGTAACGAGTTCAATTCTTTGCAACCCTGATTTTGATTTATGTGCACGATATAAAGAAGCCTCTGTTGCAGCCAGGCTTCAAGTCCAAAGAGCATGTGCGTGAGGGGGTGGCTTGAAGTATAAGCTTAGGTCTCCGATAAGTAGTTTAAGCTTTTTTGGTTGAGTTTGTTCCTCGGCGAGGAGAACAAGTACTTTACCCACTGCACTTGGGACACTTGTCGGTCCCAATTTTATTAATTTTCTTGTTCAAATAGATCGTTGGAATATGGATTTCACTTCCTTTATAGGTTTTGCTCACCTTTTGTTACATGGTGGTTTTCAAAGGGATTTGAGGCTGCCTTGAGGTAGTGAGGCTTAAAGGCATTGGGTTTAAACCTCTAAAGCATAAGCCGCATCTTCGTATTTTGGGGCTTACACCTTAGACCCTAGGCGCACGAGGCTTACCAAGGCATATGAGGCACAAGGCTTAAGCCTTGGGCTTTTATCATGATTTTATGAAAGTTCTTAAAGGCTACTGGGCCCAGACATTTATGTTATCTACTTTGCTTTATCTTTGGCCTTTCTAACAACTACCGTGTAAATCTTAAATCGTAGAAACATATATTTATATTGATAAAACATAGGAGCCATTTAAAAAGCCATTGGCTTCTTTCATTTCACACTCCTCTCTCGGTTTTCTGCTTCACTCCAGTTCGGCGACAACTACAGTTTTGGTTTACAGTCTTCAGTGCAACTCTGACCATCTTTTTCTCACCCCTCCCTCTTTATTTAATCTCCTTTTAAGTTGGGATTTTAGTTTGTAGCTTTGTAACTTGGACTATCTGTCTCTTTTTAAATTGAGAATTATACCTTAGGCTATTACTTATATATTTATTGTCATATTTATATTTTTGCAAAAATACTTATTCTCATAGTTTGTAGGTGTTTAACATGGGTTGATTCAGTTTTTTTGAACTTTCCAAAATTTGTTTTTAAGTTTATATTACTTCAGGACGGTTCTTTTGACATGGCCACCAATGTCGTAATAGGTCCATTTGAGAGCCTTATAGTTCTCCGTTCGACCCCAAAGTGCTTCCTACTTGCCTTAAACCCCCACCGCCTAGCCCGTTCCGAGCAACCCCAACGTGCCTCCTCCTTTGGGTGACAATCCCCTGTCACAAATTTGACGGTGGATTGTCACCCAAAGGAGGGGGCACACTGGGGTGGGGTGCATGGGGCGGGCATGTGGGGGTTTATAGTGGGGTTGAGGGGGGGGGGGTAAGAACCACTTAGGGGTCGAACAGAGCATCGTAGCCTCGTAGGGCCTTCAAGTATACCCAATGTCATAATATGAAATTGGTGACCAATGTCAGAAGAGCCAAAATGTACTTATAAGGTACTGTTTCAATGTATTAACTATTAATTATGCATTTTATTATATTTGTTATTTATAATAAATTGAGGCTTATGCCTCGAGGTGTGATTCTGCTTTTCAAAACATTGGTTACAAGAATTTAGTCTCAGAATCACATAATTTTATATTTAGAGATGGTATTTGAAAGAAAAGAAGTCAATCGTTGTTCGAGGTCTATGATTGGGGTTAATGGTCAAAGAAACATGAATTAGTGTGCCTATTTTTTGTGGATGCAATTGTTCATTTGAGTTACTGGGACAAAGCTGTGTTTTCCTATGTAAGGTAGCTCAAAGAGTCATTTTGACAATGTTTATGCTTCATGTACATAATAGACTAAATTAAAATGACACATTAAATCTCCATTGCATCTTATTACTATGAAGTTTTGGGCCATGAATGCATCAAGGGTCTAATGTATATTGAGTATTTGTTTGTTTATTTCTGTTTTTGCATCTTATTTATATTGTTTATTGATTATTTGTTTGTTTATTATAATTTTATATGTTTGATTTCTCTTCATATTGTTAGTGCTGCTGCCAAACATTTTCTTAAATATGCTGTGTATGGTTTGTTTTGATGGCAGATTTTCTGGTTCAGCATATGGCTCTTCTACGGGTAAGGAGAAATCAGAATTTAGTTCTACTATTCCAAAGGCAGCCCCCCAGTGCTTGGTAAAACAATCAAATGCTGGTAAGACACTAATTTATTATTACTCCGTAATTTATTTGGCTCAGTGTTTAGCGTCTCATGCCGGCATATCAATTTGTTTAGCAAACTAATATTCTATTTGTTCCCTGTCAGGTTCTGCACAATTTTCTAGTGTAGATAAAATGAGTGGGTTGCCAGTGGCATATCCACATATTGACGTAATGGATGAGAATGGAGCAAGAGAATCAGGGCCGTTGGCCCCATTGATGCTGAACCAGACATCCTCTGCTCTTGAGTCATCTGCAAATCCATCTTCTCCCAAAAATCCGTCTTTCCCATCTGGAGGAACTAGTGCTAGGGATGTTCCATCTCCAAACAGTGCTCTTACAAGTCGAGCATCAAACACAAGCTCTAACAATTCTGATATGAATTTGAATATGAACAACAATGAGGGGCCGGTTCATGAAGATATGTGTGATCCTCTAGATCTTGAACATTATTTCAGAGAAGGCTATTGTGAAGCTTCAACTAACAAAGAATCATGTAAATTAACACAACCGGTCGATAGCAGCAAGAGCCATCGTGAAAAGGAGAAGAGTGAAGATGAAGAGGAAATTGATGACATGCTTGGCGGGGTTTTTGATTTCTCTGAAGAAGGTTCGCAGGCGAAACATGCATATACTTTCACTATATTATCTTTCCCTTCTTTCAATTCATAAAAGCTGAATACGCCTCTCTCGCGATAGTCCAATGATAGTAGAGGGAGAGGTTTCGGTTAGTTTCCTAGGAGAAGCCATCTTCTTCTGTAATCCCCTATTCAGTCCCACCCTATGGAGCAAGTACCTTGTAACTCCGACCTTGAGTCTCAGTGGGCGGCCCATAGATTCCAAGATTATTGGGCAAAACCCAAACCTGTGTTTTAAAAGAAAACTGAGTACAGACTCTCTTTAAAACTTTGCATGGGAAAAGTGAGGACTTCCATTTTATCAACAACCCAGTAAAATCCCACGTTTCGTGGGGTCTGGGGAGAGTGTGCACGTAGACCTTCTTACCCCTATTGAAAAGTAGAGAAGTTGTTTCCAAGAGAGGACCTCCGTTTTATCACTCCATTTAACCTTTTTTTATTGTTATTTTTCAGGTTGAAGAATGACTTCAATGTTCAAAGTGGAATCTTTAAAAGCATTGTCCAATACCTGAATCTCAAGTTGCCCGAACGCTTTCCAAGAGGGAAAACTGCTACTGACTGGTTTGCTATATATCTGTGGCATCTCTGCTTAGTCCATTTGTATTTTGCCAGGGCGATAAACCACCTGGCGTTTATTTCTGATTCTTGTGTATATATATGATACTGTATATTGAAATTCATCACACAAAACGATTGGTGTGGACAGTTCAGTCACTTCTGTCTATACTTTTCAAGTTTATTTGTTCTTTGAGAAAAGGAAAACAAGAATGAAAAAAAGTTAAAAAAGGATATCGTTAGCTTACTGCTCCTCAAGCCCTTGATCAGGGACTTAGTTTACTGGCTGTTAAATGCTCAGTCCGCCCCCCGCCCCCTCACTCCTGGTTTGGTTTGTTGTATGTAATGGAATGAAGGGCTTTTATGTTTAAAATGGTTTTAATCATTTGGATAACATATACGGAGTAGTTTATATGCTTGATGGCAAGAATTTGCATTGCTGAAGTAACGGAACCAAGCACGAAAGTACATTGTTGGAAGCTTATGAATGTATATATATTCATTTAAATTCTATACTTGGCACTTTTAGAGCGGTGATTTTTTCATATTTAGTCTTCTGTTACTAAATATAACATTTGTAGTCTTTTTTTTATAAGCATCTTTTTATGGATAGTTTATTTGATCTTTTATTATGTTGATGTTAAGTAGAATACTAAAAGTATACTTTCATATCGATCTCAATCCGACCATGTATTCTGGTGTCGATTTGACGGATAATATAACAATAGTGACTATGGTTGCAGACTTGGGTTTCGACCACCAACGACAATTGTGAACTATCGTTGCGTTGGACGGTGATTCCAGCAACCAAATGACACATTGACAACGATATCTGACATTGATTATCCGAATTCAATTTTCGGTAACTGTGTTGAGATACAACTATGCTAAACATAAAATTTCTTTAAGATGACTTTTGCCACTAATCTGTAATTAAAATTAATTTATTTTTTTTCAGATGTTAATCTGACCGATTTTGAGATGCCATCAGAGATGTGGTTAATCTTTTTTTTAAATACAAAAAAACCTCTGTAGCGCCAAAACTTTTTCTACTAGTAATTTTAGTAAATTAATGAAAACAATTGTCGTAAGGTTCTTAAGAGCATAAATTTCTATTTAGAAAAGAATAATTTTTGAGTGAATTGACAAGAAAATAAAAGAATAAAATTGAAACATCTACTCCGTTCATGCTTTGTGCTGTGAGGGTTTTTGAAAGAGGACGGAAATTTCAAAATAATTTATTTCGGAATTTACTAAGGATAAATACCCAAACAAAATTAGGGGTGTTCATTCGATAAAACCGAACCGAACCGAACCAAAATTACCGAGATTTCGGTAATATTATATTTGTACCAATACCGAACCGTATTAAATCGGTTCGGTACGGTAAATACCGAAATGATTTCGGTTTGGTATTCGGTAATACCGAAAAAACCAAAAATTTAATTTTGTTTTCATCTATACTTCACTTTTTTTTATTTTCAATTTGTACCACAAGCAATCTCGTTCAACATTTAAAGAAATTAGAAATACTATATATTTTTAGCTATAGTTAATCATAAATTACTTAGTTTTTCATATTATTAAAAGATTATCGAAACACATGATTTTGATCTTGTAAAAAAATGAAATATAAAAAAAGAAATAAAAAATTCAAAATATAAAAAGTATTCTATCAAAATGTTTAAAAGATCTTACCTTTAGCCACCGGTAATTTATTGCCCTACGAAGTGAGGTCAATGTATTGACCATTTAGAATAAATGAAAAAAATATTAAAGAAGAAAGAGTCAAATAGTAAGCATGAGTAAATTTAGCTAGATATGAAGTATTTTTTAAAAATTAAAATTGTCAATAAAATGAAGGATAAAATAAGGTAGACCACTATATAAGTTGCTAGGACTCAAGATTAGAATTCAAACTTCAAAATATTTAAAATAATAAAATGAAGTAATAATTTGGTATTCGGTAAAAACTGAATTACCGAATTACCAAATCGAACAGAACCGAAAACCGAATTTTAGAAAAAAGAAAAACCAAATACCAAACCAAATTATTCGGTTTGGTTTCGGTACGTACCGAATTTTCAGTTTCGGTACGGTTCGGTCGGTTTACCGAATTGTGCACACCCCTAAACAAAATTCAAAACCATTTACATTTCGGAATTTACTAAAGATAAATATCCAAACAGAAAATATTTTGTCGGTACAAAATCGAACTTGTGTGTAGAGTGCATATATGGTGCACCTTGAGCGCATACTATTTTTGTGGACTTTTTCACATAAAAATCTTTTTTATATTTTTAATTTTTTTTAAAAATGCTATTCTAGGTAGTGAGGAATTGTTTATTGAGTCATATGTAGGTCCACCATAGAATTTACCTTGTGTGGGTGAAACACAGATTTATACTTGGAGTGCTTCTTTGGTGCATCTTGGATGCATATCATTTTTTGGACCTTCTCACATAAAAAATCTTTTTTTTTTATTTGAAAAAACGGATGCTTATTTAAGTACTAAAGAAATGCTTATTTTGCTCATATGTAGGTCCATGGTGGTCTTAGGTCTACGATAGCATTTGCCATAGATTTGAGGTAATTATTTATTATTTCCTTTGTCTCAATTTAATTAAGTTGTATATTTACTATTTATTGAATCAAATTTTGAGCACTCTCTTTACTCATTTTTATTACTCAAATGATAAAATTAAGTAGTTATGTCACCTCTTATTTCGTTACTCTTTTGATTTAGTTTTTAGGGTAAAAGACTAAAGTATGAGTAAAACATTGAAAATATACCAAAATAGGAGTTTCATGTTTTTATTCCTGAAATAGGTGTTAAATGCATTTACATTACCAATTATGATCCAAAGTACAGAGCCACATTACAGCGGGAACTTCTTTTTAGGGAATAAAAACATGAAACTCTTATTTAGATATTTTCTCTATATTTTACTCCTATTTCAAACAAAATTTTTATCATCGCTAACATAACGAAACATTATAAGGACGGGATCAGAATATTTCGGGTCGGAACAATGATTTCAAGATTCTTGCCCACCATAAATATTCATCGAAACCTCCAATTCCTTCATGGCTTCATATTTCTTAGGTAATGCTTGCTATCTGAGAGTATCATATATCGAAAAAGTGAGAATAAAATATTTGGTACATAAGCTCTTGAATTGAACTAAGTAATCGATTAGATTCTATCTTGAGTCATTCCAAGTGTCTTATAACCGAATTCAGTGGTGCTTACCTCATCCTAAATTACATCACAGTATCGGAACAGGTTTTGGCCCACCTCATTTGTCAAAGTATTTGTCTAGCCGTTCCCTCCTAGTGGCCCTAGTCTTCACCCCGGTTGTCTCTATAGAATACATATACTCAATGGCATGTGACTCATTTAACCTGATTATTCGTCTAGAATTTCAATTCATACCTAGCGATTCGGAATCCTTTAGGTGTTGCTGCTCGATTATTCATTTAGCGGGGATGGTCGGGAATCCATTTGCAAGTGGTTGACATGTTCAATTCAAAATGACCCACTTGTCCACTAGGTAATCGATTGGATTCGATTTTTTTAATGTGGTTCAACCCAAATGTCATATAATTTATTTCAATGATAGTTATTCCATCCTAAATTCTATCACTTGCAATGGCAAAGCTTAAAAAGTCTTCAATGAAGTACAGAATAACTATGAAAGCTGAAAAATCTATACATTCGCATCTGATGAAACCAATCCATTAAAATCAAGAATGATGTTTTAGGAACCAGCTAAGCAAAGATAATGATGATGAAGTCATCTCAAATGGAGAATAAAACGTGTAGGCAAGCGATGAAGAGGACGCTCCCCTACATCCAAAGCCTCATACAAACCTCACAGGTCGCCTTATAAAAACATTAATGGAATAATTGACAAAGGCACAAAAACATGACATAACCTTAACTTTTGTGCGTTTCTTGAACCCAAACAAGTAGAAGATGCCTTATGTAAGTCATTCCTGAACCAAAATAATGGAGCATACACTTGCGCAGTCAGTGGCGGATCTAGGAATTAGAGCCACTGGGGGCAAGAGTAAGAGGGGCGACCATATTATAGAATTTGACTCGTACCGATACCGTACAAAATGTTTTAGTTTGGTATGAGATAATACTATACGTTGGAACACAAAATTGAAATTGGGGGAAATTAAATTCATAAATCAAACAATAGAAAGCTAGAATTTTTTTAAAGAGTAATTCTCAAAATGGTACTCAATAAATAAATACTTTTTCAAATTGGTCTCCAAGATAAATTAATTATCGAGATGATACTCGTTAATTAAGAATAATGCTCATCAGTTTAGTCCCCTCAACTAATGGTCATAAAAACGGTATCAAAATGATGTTAACACTTATACTTGTTTCCTAAAATGATCTTTTCTAATGTGTGCTTTCTTAAATTTGAAGTAATAAAAATAATAAATAAAACTTTAAATATGCTTTTATAAATTTGAAGTAAACATTTAAATGGCTTACAATGATTTAGAAAATTATCATGTAAATAAAATATTTAATGAACATTATTTATTTGTTTCCCTAGTTTTGAAATAATTTCGACCAAGCATCATAAATCAAAACATGAGTTTTATTCTAGAACGAATAGAATCATTTATTAAATATTTTAATTAGAAGATATTTTTCTAAATATTAAAAGCCTGAAACGTTTTTACTACTCCGTATTAAATAATATTTATAGTTTTATTTAATATATTCTCATCTTATAAAATTTAATCTTGATTTTAAGTATTTCCATAGGGGGCACTACAAGATTTTGACTGGGGGCACCAATTGCATCAACCCCACAAATATTTTTCCAAAAAAAAGAAACATATATTTCCACTGGGGCAGGTGCCCCCCATAAGCCATGACTGGATCCGCCCCTGTGCGCAGTTGTTAGGAATTCAACCCGGGTCTTATTTCTTGGAACTCCTTGCTTTTGTCAATTGTTCAATACCAACTGGCACATAGTTTATTTATAATGTTTTTCACTCATCAAACGGTTATTTTTCTTTTTTTGGTCGTGTCAAAATAAATTTCTCATCCCATTTAAATAATGGAATGAGTGGTTCAAAACTAATATCAATTGAATAATTTTAAGTACTTCTTTAATGTAAGAGAAAGTCAAATTGAAAACTTATTCCCTTTTTTATTTCGCAAATTATATCGTACATCCGGTTGTGCCGAATTTTCAGTACAACCGGCTAATTGACGAAGGAATGAGATGGAACGGAAGCCGCTGAAATTACTGCCGCTCCTCTATTTGCCGGGTCGGGCCACCGTAGACGGAAGATGATGGAGCAACAAAGATGACGAGGAGCAATGGTGGTGA